GCTTGTTATCACCCTTCACGGCAGCATTGCCAAGTTGATTGGATGTATTAAATTTCTGCTTTGAATTAAGTGTGATGAACAACTTATAAAACAAGGATAAAAATTGTGCTGCATCATTTTTTTCAGGAAAATAACTGAGTATTGCAGCTGTAGTTGTTTCATCAAATATTGCCAAGGTTGACATCTTGTTTGTTATTTCCAGGATGAGTGACCTGATAATTAATTTTTCTCGCTTTTTTTAAGTTCCCGTTTAATAACTGATCTTTTTCATAGATTTTATGAAATAAATTTCATGCTATGTAACCAGCAGGAACTTCAACTTTGTCTTTAAACAAATCAAATGAAAAAGAAGGAAAAACATATTTTTTTGCATTTAACAAGTTATTTCTAACATTTTTTATTAAATGGATTATATCGAATAACACGTATGTTTTTAATACTCCATTGTAAACTGGATGACATATAAATAACTTTCCATCTCCATTATATGCTTTATGAAACTCTGAAAATGCACTAACATTGGTAGATTGATTATCTGCAACAACAGTTCTTACTTTAAATCCAGATTGGTGCAATGAGATCATACTACAGTTTGTTAATTTGCAATTATGACCACTGCGAAACCATTCAGGTAAAGAAATATGATATCCTTTATACGACAATGAAACATTAAGATCTTTATTAACTGTTATTGACTCAAACACAGTTGGTATACCTGATATTTCATCAAAACAGAGTTTATAGAAAACAACACTGTCATGAAGTTTCTTAAATGTAAATCCTGGTGGGCAATGCTGTTCTTTTAACGAATTAAGACTAATTATTTTATCAATATTTTAAAAATCACTGAACTCATCTTTTCCCAAGTATCTTAAAGTTGGTTCTTTTCTAGGCAACTTTGGCACTCTTAAAGTTGATGAACTACTTTTTTTATCTGTATGAATAGTTGGAACAGGTTGGAGATCCCATTTCATGGTGCATCTTTTCCCATATTTAATAAATTTATCCTCGAAATGATCAATACAAATAGCAGAGTATAATGGAAACCAATCTTTTCTATTGAAAAAATATATCCATCGTTCTCGCAAACTGCTTTCTTCAGGAAAATGAAATGTAGACTTTTTTGGACCAGTAGAGTAACCAGTTTTACAGTTTGTGACAACACATTTGTAAACCATTTTTATAACTAAAAAAAATTTCAAAAACTACAATAATATTGAGATTTCTTACATTTATAATTGAAATTATCTCCACTTGAATAACATTGCATAAAAAAAAGCAGTTCGACTGTATACAATATACCAAGTAGACTGTCTGTATGTCTATTTTATTATTCTACTCTCTAATGGATTATAATGAAACAGATAATCAGTCAGAATATAATCAGAAATATATATTACATGAATATGAAAACATAAACCAAACTTTGATATAATAATTGTAATAATCACATTATTTTAATTATTAAATATCGTTAGTTGTCTTATATTAGAAAATAAGCCGTAAAAAAACTGGCCTCTTAATTTTTTACGGAAAATGCAACAAATCAGGCCGTGTAATAATAGTAGGCCATGCTCGGATATGACAGAATCCGAAAAAGATCTCATTAAGCAATTACGTAGTTAAATTGTAAAATATTAGCTTAAATCAAAACGATGAATACTACTACACTAGAAGAGATTTCAAAATTGTTAAACTCATAAAAAAACCAACTCCTTCTGACCTATAATCTAAAGAAATGACAGTTGAACAATTTTAGTGTGTCATTAAAACAGAAAATGAAAATATCTTAATTGGTAGCATACATCATCCACCTGATGTTACAGTACTTACAAATCAAAAAATCAATAAATTAATAAATAGAGCAAAAAAAAAAAAAGTATTCAGGTTTACTCTTAGCCGGAGACTTCAATTATCCAAATATAAAATGGAATGATGAGAATATTCAAACAGTGTTAAAGAATGATAGACAGGGGCAAATATGACAACTTTTTTGACTCAAAACGTCACAAAACCAACATTTAATTCAGGCACACTGTCAGAAGGCAATACCTTTGATTTGATTGTACACCACTAATGCACCAGAGCGTATCTAATGCACATGAGCGTAATGCACCAGAGCGTGACTAATGCACCAGAGCGTAACTAATGCAACTGGAATTACATCTTTAAAAAATCAACTGCATCAAAAACTTCCTATGGGAAATCAAAGTTTAACTACAAAGCTGGAAATTATCATAAAATGAACAATTCATTCCATAGAATAAAATGGTCACATCTTTTCTTTAATAAAAATGTTAATGAATGTTACAAAAACTTTGTAAGTAAATATCACGAAATATCTAACAGTTATATACCTAAAAAAGTCCATAAACACATAGCTTTAAAACCATAGATTGACAAAAAAATGAAGACTGAAATCAGATATAAAACAACCTTATGGAAAAAATTAATATCAAAGTCACCCATTTTGGTTCAACAATACAAAATAAATTAGTTAAAAACATGGTGAAGTTAAAACGTATTGAATACGAAAAAAAAAACATCAAAAAAGTGAAACATCAAAAAAGATCCCAAACTATTTTACAGTTGTGTTATTCTAACAAAAAAGTTAAAGGAGGAATAGTTTTAATGTCTGATGAATATATTAACACTGTAACAAATAGAGAATTGATAGCAAATATTTCAAACAATAGTTTCAATTCTGCTTTTGTTAATGATGATAGACATAAAATACCAAATATGCAGCAGAACACTAAAATTATTCTATTCAAGTAGATATAAATGTCATTGGTTATAATGCACTAATGCACCAGAGCGTATCCCAATTAGCAGTGGTAGCGCACTTGCCTCAGAAACGTAAGATCCGTGATTCAAACCCCACCTCTGGGAAAGTTTTGCGACATCGGTTGGGAATGAGGCGTGAGCTTCCTATTAAATGCTCTTCCGCGGTGCTCTGTGATAAGACCGTAAGGACTTCTTCACCTAAATCAACATTAAAAAAAAAATAAACAATATAATATTTCGACATACTATTGAAAATAAATTTTAACAAGTTGATGCTTACAAAGCTGTTGGAGTAGATGGGATAAACCCATATGTATTAACTGAATGTCATAGTACTCTCTGTGAACTATTAAATTTAATCTATATAAAATCGTTGACTGAGAAACAATTACCTGAAGTCTGGAAATCAGTAAATATAATCCCAATTTTTAAAAAAGGTAATAAGAACAATACATCTAATTCAAGGCTAATCTCATAGACCTCTATCCCATGTAAAGTTTTGGAATCAATCATTCGAGATAAAATTATGGATTATCTAAAAAAAAATAGCTTGTTAAATGAAAATCAGCATTGGTTCAGAAAAAATAAAAGCTGCACAACAAACCTATTGGAAACTCTTGTTATCATAACAGATGCACTAGAAAATGGCTACATAGTTGATATGTTATATCTAGACTTTGAAAAGGCTTTTGATAAAGTACCACACTCTTGCTTGATCACTAAAATTAAATTATATGGTATCGTGAGAAATTGTCTAAGATGGATAGAAAACTTTTTAACTAACAGAAAACAGAGAGCGATCTTCGGCGACACCGTCTCAGATTGGCTACCAGTTATTAGTAGTGTACCACAGGAATCAGTTTTAGGACCACTGCTGTTAAAATATTAACATTATAAAAAATCCGAATGATTCAATAAGCCTTCAAAATGATATAAACAATATAATGCCATGGTCATCTATCTGGCTCACAAAATTTAATTAGAAAAAATGCAAAATTATGCATATCGGGAAAAAAAATCTAAATGCTAGATTTATAATGACTGGTACTAATTGGAATTACAATATTACACTATGTAACACAGAAACTAAACGTGATTTATGTATAATGATTCAGTCGGATCTAAAATGGCACTCACAAGTTGATTCAGTAACTAGCAAAGCAAACAGAATGTTAGATATCGTTAAGAGAACATTTAAATGTTTAGATGTAAACATTGTAAAAATGCTCTATACAACATTCATACGTCCACATCTTAAGTTTGCGTTCCAGGCAGAGTCTATATTCCTACAACATGACATAGAGAAAATTGAGATGATCCAAAAAAGAGCAACCAAACTAGCACCTACAATTAAAAAATTACTTTATAAAGCTAGATTAAATATTAGACAATTAACAATACTAGAAGAAAGTAGACTACGTGGAGATCTTGTTCAACATTTTAAAATTCAACATGGGTATGATAAAATAAATTGGATTACAAACAATTATCAAAACACATCAAATGAAGGTCCTATTTACGACAATACAAATTCAAAATGAAAAAAACTTTATACAAAAATACCTTCAGATATCACTTTTTTCCAAAATCGAGTGGTAAATGCATGGAATAGCTTACCATCTAAAAAAGTAGAAGCTGCTTCAATAAATAACTTCATAAATAAACTAGACAAATCTGAATTTTGCAGAAACTTTTTTTAAAACATAAACAAAAAACAAACTGAGCTGTTACAGTGCAATATCTACCGTTATAGTACTTCGCAACTGTTAACACCAGTTGTTACAGCTATACCATATTGTTATTATTATAAGTCGTTTACCCTAAATAGCTAGCTATGTAGGTTGAACGGAGTACCATGTAGGTTGAATGGCGTCAATAAAAATATCGAAAAAATAATAAAAAGTGTTTTTTTTTAATTGTTAAGTCAAGACAAAAAACAAATTATTATAAAAACAAATATCAAATATTTTGATTTGATAAGCTAAATAACCTTTTTAAGTGTGCGAGAACCCAAAAAAAAAAAAAAACAGTTTAAAGCGGTATAAGTACTTGCAAAAAGTGTAAATAAAATAAACTATAGATATTGTTATTGTATGAGAAAAAAAAAAATTGGTACAAAACATAATATATATTTATTATCAATAAATATATATTATGTTTTGTACCAACAAAACATAATATATATTTATTGATATAGATATAGCTTTCTCTCGTTATATATTATACATTAAGAAGCGAGCAATGACTATAACTAGCAACTACAAGCGTGTAACTACAAGCATGCAACTCAACTATTTTTACAGATCGCATGGCGATCACGTGACACAAATAAGAGCACGTATAAAACTAATTATATATATATATATATATATATATATATATATATATATATATATATATATATATATATACTAATTATATATATATATATATAACACGCGATAGACATTTAGCGCTATCGCAACACTCCCCCCGACAAAGAGCCGTCTACATAGAGCGGAACTAGTCCTTCGTCTACAAATTGTATATTCAGTTTGTTTATTTGTTCTTTACCATATTCAATGGGTATAGCTTATTTACAGTTCTGTTAACTCGCTGACAGGTATTATTATGTATATATATCACTATTGCACTTCTTATCTCATTGTTTTTTGAGTATTTGATGTCTTCAACTATGCCAACCTTCAAAAGTATACGTGATTTAAGGGAATCGTCAATTAACACAACATCGCCCTCCTTAATTATAGCTGAACCTTTAACTTTGGAAGATTTATGATCTTCGCGCAGATTCTTTAAGTATTCGTCTTTCCATCTTGATTGGAAATGCGTTAACAACATGTAAAGATGCTTATTACGTTGATTTGTATCTATATTATAATCATTTGATGATGATTCAGGAATGACTTCCAAATTCAACATTCTCCAAAAAACTAAATGATTTGGTGTTACCACCTCATCTCCTGGCTCTTCATAACTGAACGTTAAAGGCCTATTGTTAATAACACATTCTACTTTAAGAAGTACGGTTAACAATTCTTCATATGTTATTTTTGAATTAGATAATATCTTTTTTAAACAGCGTTTTGTAGACCTAACGAGTCTTTCAAATATTCCGCCCCACCAGGGAGCCGCTGCTACATTAAATCGCCATTTGATTGCCATAGATGCAACGAATGCTTGTGTTTCTTTGGATGTAAACTGTGTGCCGTTGTCTGATACTATCTCTGAAGGCACCCCTCGCCGCGCAAAAAATCTTATAATTCCACGAATGGCACTTGCTGCATAGCAATCAGGAACTAAATCTAAAATAAGAGAACGAGAACTACAACATGTGAACAAAAATATCCATACTTTATTATTAACAGTTGAATTATCTAAAGATTTTACATACAAGGGACCAGCATAATCAACCCCAGTGTATTTAAAATCGTAGTCATAAATTAGCCTACTTACTGGTAAAGGTGGAGAGTGAGGGTAAAAATATGGTTTCCCTTTAAACTTTTTACAAATAAAACAATTTTTAATTATACTACTTATAAGTGACCTCGCCTAAGGAACCCAGTATCTATTCCGCAGTTCGCCAAGAGTTTCCTTAACACCATTGTGTTTTACGAGAATATGAGCTTTCTGGATAACAAGCTTCGAAAAATAACTTTCGCGAGGTAAGAAAATTGGAAATTTAGTATCAAATGATAATGGTGCAGTTTTCATTCCTCCCTTAACAACGAACAATCCAATTCACTTCTTTAAGTCTCAAATCTTTACATAGTTGTTTAAATGAAGGTTTTGTTAAAACGTCACGCTGAATGTGTTTTATCCATAAAATATTTGCATTGTCTAATTCTTTCGTTGATAATATTGAAGAATTCAACGGAATTGATTTATTAATTCTTGCTTTAATTTTTTTAATAATTCGTAATATCCATGCTGTAACTCGCAATAATTTACTATACGTATTAAACTTCGAAATATCTATAACAAAATCATCGATATTATAAACAGTATTATCAATAAAACAGGTTAAATCTGATATTTCCAAATGATCCTGAAAATATTTATACACAGGCCATTGAATTTCCAAGTTATTGAGAAAGTCAGGTCCATTGAACCATATAGTCTTTTTTTCTAGATCAGTTAAAAAACAGCCACGTGAAATGATATCTGCTGGGTTTCTAATTGATTCAACATATTTCCATGATGTGATATCATATAAACTTCTAACTTTATTAAGCCTGTTCTGAATGAAAACTTTATATTTCTTTGTCATATTGTTAATCTAATGGAGTCATATTGTAGAATCTGTTCAACAAGTAACTTTATAAATATCATAAACAGATTTAATTTCATTTTGTACATCATATAACAACTCAGCTAACAGCAAATTAGAACTGAGTTCAAGGCGAGGTATTGTTGACTTACATACTGAGGCAACCCTAGACTTAGAAGCTACTAAAATAGAAAATGAACAAATTTCATTGAAAAAACGCATGTAAACACAACACCCATAAGCCTTATTACTAGCATCTGCGAATCCGTGAAGTTCTAACTTAAATAGAGGTATATCTAAATGGTTAATATACCATCGTGGTAAACTTATACTACCTGCTAACCGCAAATCATTAATTATTATTTGCCATTCTAGCAAATTTTTATTTTCAAGATAACTATCCCAACCCATTTTAGAAATGTTCAACTTTTGAAATAATAGCTTTAGCTTAACAACAAAGGGATTTATAAGTCCTAAAGGATCATAAATACTAGCAATAAAAATAAGAACGTTTCTTTTTCTTGGTATGCTAATAGCAATTTTCATTAAACTTTCAAATCGATAAGTTAAAGTGTCACTTCATTTGTTCCAGATAATACCAAGAACTTTCGTTTCATCTTTTTCGATAAATGGCTTATCTTGAAAAGTGTTTTCTAAATCTTTACAATTAGATTCAAATTTCGGAAGATTGAATCCACCTTCTTTTAATATCAACTTACACCATTTGTAAAAGTTAATGCATTGACTTATTCATTAAAACAAGAATTTACATCGTCAACATGAAGACTATTTACAAGTTTATTAACATATGACGGATTACTTCTTAAATATTGTTGCAAATGTAGTTTTAACGTTCCATTAAGTAAAAATGGAGAAGACGTTACTCCAAACAACACTCTACATAGACGATATGATACTAATTTTTGATTTGATAAATTTTTAACAGATATATTATTAATGTCATCATACCACAAATATCTAACATAATCTCGACATTTATTTGCACTAGCATCAAATACCATTCGAACTTTAGTTAAAATTTTATCATCACGCTTCATTGGTCTGTGAGGCAAATAATGTACATTTTCAGCATTTAAATCATTAACTGAAACTTTTTAAATGATACCTTGCGATAATTGATATTTAATAATATTATTATATGAATTGAATAAATCAATATCTTTTAAGAATCGTTTTTTCAGAGAATTAACTCAATTTATACATAAAGAATAGTTATCAGGTAATATAAATTCATCACCCCTAAATGGTAAATCAACCATATAACGACCCAAACCTTTATCAAAATAAGTGAATTCTTTAAAATTATTTAATACTAAATCATTTTCTTTACAACTATCCTTATAACCCCATATTTCTTTTCAAAACAACATCATCCTCAACTAATTCAGATTGAACCTTTAAAACGTGCACCGTGTTTACACAAAAACTATTTCCTTTCTTTTTACCTGAACAACCACTTAACACATAACCACCAAGATTAAACTTTAAAGCAACAGGTCCAGAATTACCCCTAACAACTGTATCACCAAAAAATTTCCAATAAAAATCAGCTCCAACCAGTATATCAACACTAACTGGACCATCTACAACTATATCAGCTAATGCTAGACCCTTTAAATGATTATAATTTCTAACAGTAAAATCTATTTTGGCCATTAATGGGGGCACATATGTCTTTGACAAAACAAGAAATTAAAACAAAACAACCATTAGTACCTTTAACAGTAAATTGAACCCTTTCCAGCACTTCTGTTTCACTCTGATTTCCAAAAGTATTAATAACGATTCTCTTCGAGTCTAACGTTTTTAAATTAAGTTTACTTCGCAATGATGGTGAGATGTAACTAAGTTGTGAGCAGCTATCAAACAATATACGAGCAGGTTGATTAATATTATTAGCAGTTACATTGACTCTGGCTGTTTGCAATAAGACTGAGTTATTACACTTTGATAATGAAGCTAATGAAGACGAACAATTTTCTTGTATATCTATTTTCTTATTTGCTATTTTATTTATGCACATTGCAGCATGATAAAAATTGGAACAGTAGAAACACTTCATTTTCGTATTGCAATCCTTTGAGAGATGTCTAATCTTTAGACATTTAAAACATCTCCTTTTGTTCTTTAAGATTCTTCTTTTGTCCTCTAGACTTATAATTGTCATACATTCTTGAGATTTGTGATTTTTATCACAAAAAATACATTTTAAATAGTCATTAAAATTTTTAAACTTATTTTGTGGTTTCATATTTCCACTTGAATATAATGTTTCTGCAGTAAAGTGCTGAACTTCATCTTTACTAAGTTGACTTCCTTCACGAGCTTGAATTTCCTTTTTTAAAATGTTCAAAACAGTCTTCATACTCCAGCAATCATCAACATTAACAAATTCTCTTGATATAAGTAAAGCGAGATCTTCAGGAATTTTTTGCATTAGTACTGGTATTAGAAGAGGTCCATATTGCCTAGAATCTACTCCTAAATTTTCTAAACTTCTGACCTGGATTTCAATTTTGTCATAAATAGCACGAAGAGCTACTAAATTTCTAATGCTATAAACTTTTTCGATCGACAATAATGTTCTCATATGAGAGGATATAATCAATTGTTTGTTATCATACCTTTCTTTTAATAAATTGATTGCAATATTGTAATTATCATTAATAAGAGCAAGTCCTGTTATACAAGGGTTGAATTAAGGCATCGCGATTTGCGATATCTGTTAAATTATCTGGTCTTCAAAGTTTCAGTTTATGGAAAACCACGAAATTTACGGAATTAAGGCGAATAAACTTTAATTTGTTAGTGAAAATGTTATGAAAAACAAAACAATAAACTTATGACTACAAAAGTAATAACACTACAGTGTTGTTACTTTTATAACACTCTTTTAAGTTACATTTATAGTTTATTGTTTGATCAAACAACACATAATCAAGCTATTATAAATAAAAATGATTTAGTTAAGCAATTCCAAACTTTAATTAAAGTAGTAATGCATCTAGAAAAAATACAACGGATATTTAAACAATGTTAAAAACCTTAGCAACTTTTACAAATACATATTTTTATAAACAGTTTAGCATTTCTAAACATCTTACTAACGGTCCGGAAAAAACGCGCGTTCACTTTAAAATCAACCAATGAAAACACTGGTAATTTACTTCTCAGGAGAAATCTATATTAAAAGGGGAGGGGGGGCAGGAGGGTATAAACTTAAACTTTGTTTTATTATTTAATCAATTAAATCATAATAAAAGTAAAGACAAAAAAATATATTTCTAAATATACTTCTTTATAACTAAAATTTATTAAATTGAACACCTCTGTTTTTAGTTTTAAGTAAATGTCAGTACTACTCTCAGTGGCGAAACTGCGGGGGAGGGGGTAGCAGAGAAAAAGTGTCCTATTTTTAAGCTAATTTTAGGTTGCATGGGCGATGTTGGGCTCATTTTCAAAATCGTGCGGGGGGGGGGGGGGGATTTTTCTACTTTTATAATAAAAATGCTTTAAGGTGCTTAATGGGGGGAGAGTCGATAATTTTTGGAAAACTTCTCCTCCCACACCAAGCTTATTAAAACCCAACTCCCAACCCCGTTTTATTCATTTTCACTTGTTATAGACAAAAAACTATATCTCAAAACAAAAATTCAGTGAAAATTGGCTTTAAAATTAAACAAATATATATTGGTAACCGATAAATAATAAAATTTTCTTTGTAAATCCTCCCCCTTTTTTTTTTTATTATTTCCTCCTCCCATTTTATACATCCGGACTAAAATTCCCACCCCCACCTGCCTTTGTATTAAGCACATTAGAGTAGTCAGTAGCAAAATTTCCCCCCTCCTGCACGGTTTTGAAAATGAGCCCAACATCGCCCATGCAACCTAAAATTAGCTTAAAAATAGGACACTTTTTCTCTGCTACCCCCTCCCCCGCAGTTTCGCCACTGAGAGTAGTACTGACATTTACTTAAAACTAAAAACAGAGGTGTTCAATTTAATAAATTTTAGTTATAAAGAAGTATATTTAGAAATATATTTTTTTGTCTTTACTTTTATTATGATTTAATTGATTAAATAATAAAACAAAATTTAAGTTTATACCCTCCTGCCCCCCCCCCCCTCCCCTTTTAATATAGATTTCTCCTGAGAAGTAAATTACCAGTGTTTTCATTGGTTGATTTTAAAGTGAACGCGCGTTTTTTCCGGACCGTTAGTAAGATGTTTAGAAATGCTAAACTGTTTATAAAAATCACTGAAGCCAATTTTGGCCTACCAAGATGGCGTCGGTTAGAACTGTTAGCGGTTTGAATCGTATAAAAATTCTGACCGAATAAGAAAAGTAAACTATTTTTAAGGAAAATAAGATGGCGAAATAAATTTATTTGATTATTAAAATATTCAGCTAGTATACACTTTTTAAATGAGGTTTATAATTTATGTACCTTTTAGTTCTTAATTACCCAATGCTGTGTGCTAGAAGGTTAATAACACAACTGTATGGTAAGCAGCAACGATGTCTACCTACAATCTTTAAAGAATTTTAAAATCATGAGTTTTGTAGGTAGAAACATTATTGTACCAATGCTATATGAACTATTAGCTGAGAACTGTGAGTACACACAACTCAGAGGTTCCTTCTAGGATTATAAAAGTCATTTTATTATTTAATGCATTAACTTTCTGGACTCAATATTCAGTGAAAATATAAAACAATATTTATATTCCAAAGTAAAAAATTATCTTTTAAAATCATAAGTTTTGTAGGTAGAAACATTATTGTACAAATGCTGTATGGACTATTAGCTGAGAACTGTGAGTACACACAACTCAGAGGTTCCTTCTAGGATTATAAAAGTCATTTTATTATTTAATGCATTAACTTTCTGGACTCAATATTCAGTGAAAATATAAAACAATATTTATATTCTAAAGTAAAAAATTCTCTCAATGACTTAGATTTAAAGTCTAACTCTTGTCAAACTCAACTGTGAATAATTATTCCTCAAAGTTTGAAGGATAATTATTGACAGTTTAACACATACATAGTATGTAAAGATGTAACATATGTATGTTACATTTTATTGAGAATAAATTCTCTAGAGGAGGTTAAGTTAAACCAAGCAAAAGTGTTGTTTTGGTATGCGAAGGAACAGAAAGATGTTTCCAAAGGTTTCTTACATCAACAAAGATTACCCTCCCTAATGATATAGGAATTAAAAATGCAAATGTTGTTTTGAGATCAGTTGATATATCAAAAGTATTAACAGAGCTAACTCATCATATGCTAGATTCGTCTTTAACTGATAAGCATTTATTCTCACTGATTAAAGTTATTTCAAAAACTTACTGAAAAATACACTTTCATCACCAATGCAAAGAAGTAACTAACAAATTGACTGGAAAAAAGTTTAGGAAGCAGTTGATTAAATTTGTCTTATTCAAAAATCAATGAAAACATTTGTTTTTAGTATACCATTTTAGTGCACAGATATGGTAAGTACAAATTTTGGTCAAATTGAGATAAGTACGCAGAAAAACCTGTTTTTATTTATAGTTTATTGTGAATAAATATGGTATGTGTAGGATAAACGATAAAGAGTCTAATAATTGACAATATGTGGTAAATACAAAAACTCTTATTATTATAATTACGCACACAAATGACAGTTTCTACAGTTTTAATCTAGCACTTACCACATCTGTGCACTGTGTCATCGATATATACACAGTAAACTCCTGATAACTCAAACCTTTAAAAAATTGAACTTCCAGTATTTCCTCGGACACTTAAAGGTTACGACTTATCAGGAGTTATATATGCATATATATAATATACATACAAACATTTATATATATATATATATATATATATATATATATATATATATATATATATATATATATATATACATATATATATATATATATATATATATATATATATATATATATATATATATATATATATATATATATATATATATATATATAGTAGAAAATAAAACGAATTTCATGCAAATTTTACAACATTACAACATTAAGTTTCATGCTGATGCAATCATCAGGTGAAATAAAAATGAAAAGTATTTCACCTGATGATTGCAACACATAGTTTTATTATTTTCTATATTATAGCTCTGTTCATTAAACACCTTGATGGTATATCCAAAAAACACATATATATATATATATATATATATATATATATATATATATATATATATATATATATATATACATATATATATATATATATATATATATATATATATATATATATATATATATATATATATATATATATATATATATATATATATATTCACTTAAATGTACTAGGTGAGTATATTTATGTGTGTGTATATAGTTAGTATATTTATTTGTATTGAAAGAAAAATCTATTAAAATTAAACTAAAATAATTAATGATAACAAACTCTAGAAGGAACCTCTGAGTTGTGTGTACTCACAGAGCTCAGCTAATAGTTCATGCAGCATATATACATTACAAGTATCTGTTTAAAACAAATTTTTTTAAGACTGATTCATATTAAACAGATACTAAGCTGCCTATCATGCAGTTGTGTTATTAACCTTCTAGCACACAGCATAAGATAATTAAGAACTAAAAGGTACATAAATTTGTTATTAAATTTTTTTGAAGGATTTTATTTATCTTATAATAAAATAAATTTATACATATTTATAAAATAAATTTATACATATTTATATTGCATAATATAAATATTATTTTTCCTAATATATATATATTATATATATATTAGGATAAATAATATTTATATTAAGCAATGTATATATATTTTTGATGAATATGTATAAATATATTATATATTATATATATATATATATATATATATATATATATATATATATATATATATATATATATATATATATATATATATATATATATATTATATATATACCTACTTTTATTTCTAAAAATTGTTTTTTTTAAAAAAAAAAAACCTTATTTGTGTTTAAAATTTTATTACGCTTAAGGTTTTTTGATTTTTTAAACGGTACTTCTATAACCGTTGGCAAACTACGCCGCCATCTTGGTAGGCCAAAACTGGCTTCAAAAATTTTTCCGAATGCGCTATCCAGTTATTATTTTGAGATCAGTGATAAAAATATGTATTTGTAAAAGTTGCTAAGGTTTTTAACATTGTTTAAATATCCGTTGTATTTTTTCTAGATGCATTACTACTTTAATTAAAGTTTGGAATTGCTTAACTAAATCATTTTTATTTATAATAGCTTGATTATGTGTTGTTTGATCAAACAATAAACTATAAATGTAACTTAAAAGAGTGTTATAAAAGTAACAACACTGTAGTGTTATTACTTTTGTAGTCATAAGTTTATTGTTTTGTTTTTCATAACATTTTCACTAACAAATTAAAGTTTATTCGCCTTAATTCCGTAAATTTCGTGGTTTTCCATAAACTGAAACTTTGAAGACCAGATAATTTAACAGATATCGCAAATCGCGATGCCTTAATTCAACCCTTGTTATAGTTAAAAGTGCTTGTCCTTTTAAAAGATTTCTTAAATACGTTAATTTCTGAATCGGACTTAGGTTATCATTACAAACTATAGAACATGTAAAATTTTCATAAAATGTTTGCCATTGTTCAGGTCTACCATCGAATGATTGCAATTTTAAAGATGGGAGTTTAACAAATATATTATTTTTATTAGAGTTATTTACTAAACTATCTAAATTAGACTTATTGTTAATAAACTTATTAATTTCAGATAACTTGACACGATAAAAGATTATAAAGTCAGTGCTACTATCTTTTTCTTCTTGAAGTTCTTCTTCTTCATCAATCAAATTAACAATTTCTTCATTTAAATGTTGAATCTTATTAAATTTGTCAACCAGAGTGTCACGAAGACTAGTCAGGGTGTCAATTGAATCATTAAAGGTACATAAATTATCCTCCCCATTATATATCTTATCTAAAATACGCCTAATGGAATTAATATTAGTTGTACGAACTCTACGTTTAATAACAATGGTAGACATTTTCTTAAAAAAAAAATACTATAAACTTTAAATACCAAAAAATTTATAATAAATAAACAATTTGACCATGTAGGTTCAAACTTGTCTTGGTTTCCTACTTCACCAAAAACCAGAAGGGAAAAAAAATAATAAAAAAAACGAGATAATCAAGCAATAAAAAGCCTAATCTATTAATCAATATTAACTTAAATCAATAATAAACGATAAACTTAGATGCTAGGATATTAAACGGTTAAACTTATAAATGAACAATGTTTACTTAGCCATTAATAAATCTAGGTACCTCAGTAAGCAAACAATTTCAATTAATCTTAAATAAATTCTATAAACAAACATATATAATAAATAAATATATGTAAAAAACACTTATCCGTTTAAACCTTTTGCATCATCGTCGAAAATTCTTCTCTCTTAGTGGGCTCCAATATTGCTTTTGTATGAGGGTATGAATACCAACAAAACACAATATATATTTATTGATATAGATATAGCTTTCTCTCGGTATATATTATACATTAAGAAGCAAGCAATGACTATAACTAGCAACTACAAGCGTGTAAATACAAACATGCAACTCAACTATTTTTACAGATCGCATGGCGATCACGTGATACAAATAAGAGCACGTATAAAACTAATTATATATATATATATATATATATATATATATTCTGAACTTGTCACGCAAAAAAATTCACAAGACTGAAGTGCCTAATTGTATACGATTATGCTTGCAGGAATAAAAAATGAAATGGTATGGCAAATAACCTTGGTTATTTGTTTTCTTCTCTATGAAAGAGAAAACCAATGCTTGTGTGTAGAAGCTTTCAAGAAGAAGAAAAGAACCAATGTAGTCAAGGTTATCGCTGATGTGATACCAAAGCTAGGTTTAGATATTCAAAACTCTTGCGGTGAGGGATACGATAATGGATCCAATATGCCAGGTGCTTACAAGGGAGCCTGAGCCTTAATAAAGCAAAATTATTTAGAAGCTCTGTACGTTCCCTCATACTCTGAGTTTGGCGCACAGTCTGAGTTTGGCTAGTGTACACGCTGCTGAACTAGCCATTAAGATCGAACTATTATTTGGAAATGTCGAACCTTTATACGTAATTTTTAGTAAAAGTCCTGCCCGATAGAAGGTCCTCACTAAAGCGACAAGAATTTCACTGCATAGACTTTCAATGACAAGATGGATCTTTTATTGATCAAACCACTTGCCAAGAGGCCGGGAGAAATGTTGGCAGCTCTTAAACATGCCATGCAAAATCTGACCATCAAGCAGCTCAGCTAAGTCTTGCCTTAAAAAAATAGTTATCATTTTTTGAATTTGTATTTATAATTACGATTCGGTACAAAACCCTTACTGCTATTAACGAAGTAAGTTGTCTTCAACAACTTGAAGCCATAACTATCAATGACAAACTATGTTTAGTTGGACAGATTCTGAAAGACCTTAAACGGATTAGGGGCACTTGGTTGCAAATTTTTCAAGAGGCTATAGCTGTACCGTTAGGATTTGAATCTGAACTCGCTACTAAAAGAAGGCGTAGTCGCAAGCGCTTTTACATCGTTGCATCAAACACAATCCATTTTCACGACAGCCTAAAAAAGAATTTTAAGTAAACGTTTTTAATGTTGGTTTAGATAGTCTGATCTAGCATCTTAATTCAAGATTTAAGGCGAACAGAATGTTTGACAATATGTTTTCATTATTCTGATTGTATAATGATGATCTTTCCGTTCAAAATAAAGCTTGCGAGCTTGCACGGTTTTATTCAAGAGATAAGAACAAAGAGGATATCATTGAAGAAGTTCGCCGTTTTAACAACGCTTGCAAAACAATTTTCAAGAACGGAAATTTACTTAATAAAATATTCGAAAAGAAGCTTTAACACTTTTTTCCGTACATTTTGAGCATGCTCCGGATTTTCAAGAATATTTTTATGTCAGTTGCTGAGAGTGAACGAAAGTTTAACAAACTGATCGTTGAAAAAACTCTTTCCGTTTGATCATTGGTCAGGATTACGTTACGGATTTTTTGATTGTTTCGATTGAAGAAGACATGGCTTAAGGTGAGCTATGACAATGTTATTAATATTTGGGTGGCCAAAAAGTTCAAAAAAAATCATTTTTAAGCATTTTATTCATTTTTTTTGAAGATTTGTTGACAGACTTTTCGTTTTTTGTTTTTGAAACTAATATTTTGATTAATATGGGAGGTTTGATTAATGAACCGTTTCTTAATCCTTAGAGAATTTCTGCGTTACTAATAGTAACGCAGAAATAAAATATGCTGTATCAGAAATAGATAATTGCTGCGTTCACAAAACTTTAAATTATCTAATTTATTGGTTTGAAATAGGGATGCCGCTCTTCATTTTAAGCCCGGGCTCCATTGGCGCTGTTGAACGCCCTGCGAAACAGCCTTAAAAATACAAAATGAAAAATTTTGTAAATAAGACTGCATGATAAAACAGAGGCAATCTCGAAAGACTTTTAGCGCTTTTTCTTGGGACGCGAACCCCATTCTGGAATCAAATCACAAAATTAAAGTTTTAGAATAACGAAATTTTTTTTAATTAATCACACAACTCCTAAAGTCTTGATACGCCTGATCAAGGTTAAATCTCTCAAATCTATTTTTCATGGACGATGAACTTATTTTCAAAAAACCAGTTCCAGTTCCAATAATCAAGATACCGGGTCATAAATTTAAAAAATATTTTCAAGGTAATTTTTTTTTGGTTACAAGAAACTATTAGTAAAACAAAAACAAAAAAAAGCATAAAACGACTACGGACTTTTTAATACATTTAATACTTTTTAGTAATAACTATGTTGTTAATGGATGCTGCAGCATAATAAAAAAGAATGAAATGGTATGAAATTCGCATAACTTTTAATATTGCCAATTGCATTGATGTATGAATAAGGTTGGGTGTAGGGAAGCGCTGGAGCCGTCAAAGCTACTTTTTGTTACTCAGAAAACAATACAAATCTTAATCAACAAAATAAGAATAATAAAATATATAATTTGATAAATATACATAATAAAATATTTATAAATAGTGGCAATTTTAGTATGAGTTGTCAACTTAACAACGTGATTTTTAACAATTTTTAAAATCGCAAAGCATTACCGATCACGTTGTAAGCATGCAAACCAGAGTACTGGTTTTGGTTCGCATAAACAAATTGAGTTAAATATTTTATATACGGTAGAAATAATTTAAAAAGTCTTTTTACTAAGAAGCAATGTAAAAACATAAAACAGAAACTTTTCTTGTGGCGATGTCAACTTTTTTCAAAGGATATCAACTTTTCTCATTGTTTTTGTTTTGGTATTCTATAGTGTGTGGTATATATCTGAGTAAAATATCATGAAAGCGTATTGTATCAATTTCAAAAGCATTTTTCACGAATAAGTACATTGCATAAAGCAAAAACGTTACGCAGAGGCAGATAATTATCGTTGTAGACGCTTGCTTTTTTATAGTGTTAAAAAACGAATTCGAATAAAATGTCGTTATTTCTAATCTGAAATCATTAAAAATTGACAATGATGCATTTATCTTGTAAAAAAAAAAAAAAAAAAAAAAAAAAAAAAGAACAAACATGCAAAAATAAAACAGGAAACTTACTCTTTTTTGTCGCCACTTTTCCTTTTTAAGTTTTTAATATCAGATACTGGGGTTGTGTCAAAGCTTACTCGTTTATTAGGCGTATCTTCTGGTTCTAAATTCCTTCTTTTAAGTCGCTTAGTTACAACCAACGATTTCGAAATAACAGAAAACTTATTGCTCTAAAAATCAGTAACATAACTAATTTTAATAAATTAAATATTGAACAACGGAGAAAATTCTTTATAGAAAATACTTAATTTTATTTAACATAAGTTAAATAAAATTATCTAATTTGTGTTTAATAAAACATTTTTTAAATATCACCTGAAATTTTTTTTGATAAACTTTACCTTTGTTTTTTCTTCTGCTTCTTTTGCTAAATAGAATAATATAAATATTAATGTTACATGGATCAAACCAATTTTTCAAGAAACTTACTACCAAAGGCCGATAGGTTCGTTATAGTTAAGTAAACTTTTCGCATTTCACAGGGCCGACGACACGGGTTTTGAAGTCGGGGGGGGGGGGGGACAATCATCAGTTTGTGAAAAAAGTCCTTTATATCAAGATTTTTCTTAAAAAAAAAAAAAGGTCCTCTAGAAAATAAGTGGGTGGGGGCACGTGCCCCTGGCCCCCCGATGACACCGGGGGGCCAGGGGCAAAATATCTAGCCAAACATATCTATACTCATTAAAAAATAGACTTCCGTCAATAAATGTTTAATAAACTCTTTTTGATCAAAATAATAATTAAAAAAACAACAGAATAATTGAAATTTTTTTTTTGTTGAACAACCGGAATTAAAAAATACAGAAAAACCAAATTGAATCTAAATACAGACATGCTTAGTAACTAGGGAATATAAAATAATTGAATTTTGCACAAAGAGAATTTTTTTAACTTAATTTCTAAATTTTATTACTTCTACTTTATTATTTTATTACTTGTAATTTTTTATTGCATTTTTTAATATCATACAAAAAAATGTTATTATAAATCCCTTAAGATAGTGCTGAAAGTATTTTTAAAAGAGTTTTGGTCAGTTTTTACAATGGCAAATGTAAAAAACAGTAACTTACGACTCTATTAGCTAAAAGTTAATCTGGTAATTATTTTGACCAAAAGAGAAGCTATTTCTCATTCTATTAATATTTCAACTTTTGAAATTCTTTTTTAGTAAACATTTTCAGCATAATTTGGAACATATATGTTTCAGCAAATTCATACTGCCTATATTTACAATTTTTCGAGTCAAAGTAGACGTCTTAAATTATTCATAATCTTAAATAAAAGTATAGCAAACAGAGAAATAAAAACAACAGCAACAACGAAAACAACAAGAAACAAAAAACACTCAAAAATCTGTTTAACTCAAAGGAGACCGTCCAGATTTTTTTACAGCTTGCATTTTCATATTTACTTTTTTTGTCATAATTGTTAAAAGTCAATAATGATGCATGAAAGTGAAACACTGTCATTCTTTTTCAGCATTGCAACCGTTATTTCATTTTTATAACACAAATCAATTTTCAATACAATATTTCCCAAAATTAATTATAAACCAAGTAATTTAAAAAGACTAAATGTTTAAGTCCAATTATCTTTTAAAGCATTTGCATAATTATCTAGCCTATTTAATATTGCATAATTATCTAGCCAAGTTAATATTTTATTAGTCAAAATTTTACTAGTGTACATTAAATAAAGACTATTACTTTTGTGCTGGCGTTATTTGTAAGTTTTTTATTTTTTATTTTGACACACCTTTTAAATAACTTTACTCGATGGAGTCCGTACCCACAACGTCTCTCTTTGATGCCACAGGTCATAATAGTTTTTTTTTCATACCACAAAAAAAAAAAAAAAAAAAAAAAATGCTATTACCGTTATCTCCGTCGGCAGTGATATTATCTCCATATTGTAAATCGGCACCGTCATCAGGGTATTGTAAGTGGGATTTTGTTTCCACATCTGACGTATCAGAGAGATCAAAACGACACTCATTGAAACGTCTCCTAACAAATGATTTATTACAAAATTTTGTATCAACATTTAAACGGCATCATCATTAAATAATTTTCAATTAATAAACAACTTTTTGCTCACTTATGTTCAACTATTTCTTTGTTGAGTTTAGAAATTCTTTCTTTGAGGTGTTCCACATATGCTATCATTATTTCGTGGGAGCTAGTAACTAAATTTTCCTAAAATTAAAAATATAATAGCAATTTTAAGACTCAATAATCTTTTTTATTCAAAAATTAAGAATAATTTACATGTTGATAACAACCATGTTGTTCTGATTGTGCAGAGATTTTCATTGCAGACCTTTGAAGAATGTCGCATTGTTTGTTTAATGATTCTTCGGCTTCCTACAAAAATATCCTCTTAAATTATTTTGTTGATAGAACGTGTTTTTTTTTATAAAACGTAAACGTAAAAAAAGGTAATACTAAGACCCGTCAATTGAAACGATGGCGAAGGATCTTTCGTGGTGTGCAGTGAGAGTTGTAAATAGTTTAATTTTTCTTGTTATTATCATTATAATTATCATTATTATTATTATTAATACTATTATCATCACCGTCATTACTATTATTAGGAGACAATTTGACGCAACTCGTACCTTGTATTCTTGAGTTCCTTTTTTTAAAGAAATTAATTTCTAAATAAAAAAGAAGAAAAATTCAAATATACCGCAAGATACAGAAGGCCAAGTTGAATCACTTAAAATCATTAATATGAAAATTATTTCAGAAAAAAAAAAAGAAAAAGAATATACGCTTTATAAAAAAAAACCTTAATTTCGTGACGTAGTTTCTCGAGTTCTTTATCCATGCCGCGTTCTGCAACATCTCTCGCGCGTTCCTAAAAATACGATATTTAAATAATATATATCTAAGGTTTAAATTATTTAGAGATTTAACTAACTTAGACGTTATTTTTACACAAAATATTTTTAGTAAAAATAAACCTGATTTTCTAGTCTGCGCTGAAGAGTGAACTGATCAGTATTAAATGAAAAAACAACATTCTGATACATCTTTTCCAATGCTTCGTCTTCAATTAATACTTCACATTTTGATGGAATGAGGTAAGGTGCATTTAAATTCTCATACTGCCGCGGAACCTTTAAAGAAACATTTTTCATTGAACTCTCATTGCTCTCGCTATCTAAATCAACTTGCGAACCGATGAGTGACTTTTCGTCCTCGTCCTGAACTTCAATAACAGGCAAAGAATAAGATGATGTACTTGACTGCACACTTTCGTTACATTTAGGTTCGGAATCTAAAAGTAAATCAAATAATCATTTTGACGAGTTGAAATTGAAAAAATATTGTCAAAATGAAAATTACTACACGTTTACAAAAAAATACCGTCAGAAAGGTCGCTATTTTTTGAATTCACAATTGAGTTGAAATCACTATTTTCGACCGGGCTTTCGGTGAAACTCGTTAAAACTTTAAATGAGTCACGCAATGTGTTCCAAGAAACGCGAGCAGGTTCTGCAGAAATTCCATGTCGTCGGCGCCTAGCATTATTTTCTGACGAGTCATCAAAGTCGTTTTGAACTTCTGAGCTCGTTGAATCTTTTGTGCAATCACCAAATTCTTCTGTTTTTTTGAGCAAAACGTTGTTTGGATTATTTTCGTTATCTAATGGCATTGCTGAATTTTCCATTAAAATTACCGAATTGCTACTACCCATTAAAATAGCCGAATCATCACGGTTAGGAAAACATTCTAAAGTAACAGGATTGTCTTGTGAAAAATTTGTTCCAATGTTCTCGTCGTTTTCAAAACTTTTTTTTTCGCTCGAGTTCATGTTAAAACTTTTATTTTTCATAAGTTCTACGTCATCAAAGTTTAATACGTTATTGTTTTCCTCGACATTTTGTCTACTGCAAAACTCGAGGGAGTAATTTTCATTCATACTATTGATAGAATTATTTCGTTCAGAGACTTCTGTGATTTGCTCAGTAACTTCAAATTTATTATAACACAAGTTTACTTTTAGCATGTCAATATCAGTTTGAACATATTTATGATTTTGTGAATCAGTATTTTCTGATAAGATTTTTTCCCTTGTGGATGAGCAGTTTAATAGCGTAGGTAACCTCTCTTGTACAATAAAATCACTTTCAGGGTCAGTGAATTGTGAACACTGTGAAGTCGAATAACCTTCAGGTGACTTCCGTACGCCCTAAAAAACAATGGTAAGACAAAAAAAGTTCTATTCTAATTTAATTGTTGAACAAACCTTAATAAGTTAGAAAAAATCATAACATTAAAACAAAAATGATTCTATTAGGCTATCAAATAAAAACTTTATATCCACTTTCCTTTATTTAAAATATCAAACACAGTTAAGGAATTCCGGAATAAAATATTTTTTAAAAATAAAGAATCTACTCAGATATGTTGTGTGTATAAAAGGGTTTCAAGAAAACCAGTAAAAAAAAATAGTAATAACAAATATTAATTAAAATAATACTATCATTAATATTATAAATAAAGCAATAATTAATACATTTACACCATAAGTATATATGCTATAAATAGACCAAAAATAGACCATATATAATTCTGACATGAAATTTCAAAATCTTCTTAAACTTATTTCCATGAAATCGTTTTTTAATCGACAAATAATGTAAAGCAAAAAAAAAAAAAAAAAACAAACAAAAAACAAAAAAACAGTAATTTTAGTTTAATTGACAAAAAATGAAAAGAAAAACAGAAATTTTAGTTTAAATATTAGCTATAATAATTTTGCAAATTTTGGAAAAAAAAACTCTTTGAAAGTTTAAAAACCATACCGGCAGATTTTGGAACTTTTTTTTAAGAAAAAAAAAAGAAAAAAAAGATATTATTATTCAATCAATAGTCATCAGAAATTAAACTAAACAAAAACAATTTATTCAAAAGTAAAACAGCAAAAGTAAAAGTTAAAAAAATTTACCAGCAGTTTATTAATTTCACGTTTGGTTTCTTTTAAGAAGTTCGTTAGCTCATTCATGACGTCATCGTAAGTTGGTACCTAATATTATGGATTAACGTTAGCATATAGAAAACGGAAGAACTGCGATCCTACAAAATCGGATACGCTTTTAAATGGTCTACTGAATATGACCTAGTAACAAGCAGAGACTAGCAATTTAAGAGAATTTATTTTTAAACGTTAAAAATGAAAATGTAATCAACTAATTTTAAAGTAAATAGACTATTTAAACAAAAAAACCTAAATTATTTTCGAAATAAAAAAAAAAAAGAATCACATTAGTAAATATTTTAAAGTATTGCTTAAAAATAAAAAACGCGCTTAAAATGAAGAATTCAGAATTTTTTAAAAACAAAAAACTAAAACAAATAAACGGAAGCACGTTTTTTAACAAGTTTTTGTAAAAACCAATATAGAATTAATTTAATTCGCTTACCTCTTTTTCAGTATTTTTAGATACCATATTGTAAAGTGCTTGAAGTTCTCTGGAATGTTTAACTTCCGTTTCGTGAATTTTTTCCTAAAGAAAGGAAAAGCATTTTTATTAGTATTAAAAAAAAAAAAAAAAAATCTTTACAAAGCACAAATGAGAACTGCTAAAATAAAAAAAAATAAAAAAAATCAGCAACCTGTGCAAGTAAAACTTTCTTTTTCTCATCTTTTAAACTTTCTTCATATGCGCTAATTTCCTTCTCCATTTCAAAGATTTTTCCTTCAAAAATAAGTAAACCATAACAAACTTAATTTTAAAAATAAATTTATAGTACTTAATCAATTTTAAGTAAATAAATAACAGTTCAATTTGCGTGTGTGTGTTGTTCCGAATTTATTAAAACAAAAAAAAATGTTTAGTGTTTCCTATAGTTTATTCCTCTTAAATACAATTTTTTTTTTAGTTAAAAAACAAAAACAAAAAAACAATTAGTCGTAAACTTTGATAAATTTAAAACAAGAAATATGTCGTCCTTATAGGTTTGGGTCACGACGGCGATCAAATTGACGCGTTATTAAAGATTTAAAAAAACTTTACTTGCAAATTCCAAATTAACATGATTATCAACCAGTCTAAAAAATATAATACAAAAAATTTAAAAAATCAATTAGATTAATTCCCTTCCCCCTCTCTATCTTTCTTCCTAGATAGCGGAATTAAAAAAAAAAAAAGAAAATTCCTCCCCCTCCTACTACCTTACTAGATGGTTTGAATCCGCCCCTGATATGCATATATATATGAATATATGAATATATGAATATATATATATATATATATATATATATATATATATATATATATATATATATATATATATATATATATATATATATATATATATATATATATATATATATATATATATACAGAGACGTGGCTAGGCTTTCACACACACACACGTTTGGGGGGGGGGGGAGGCATATAAGGAATAGTATAAGGAGCTTCTTTTTTTTAAATAATACTTAATGGAAAAATTTTTAAGATTTTGGGGTCTTATTTTTTTGGGAGAGGGGACCCCAACCTAGTAGTGACGGCACTGTGTATATATATATATATATATATATATATATATATATATATATATATATATATATATATATATATATATATATATATATATATATATATATTAGGGATCACTTGTATACGGTATACTAAAAGTTTAGTATACAGTTTACCGTATACAGTAATGTATACTGTAAAAAAAAATTTTTCTTAGCGAAACCGTAATACAAGTTTGAAAAACATTTTTAACGGTTTACGTAAGACAAATTTGTTTGTTTATTATTTAATTAATATAATAAATTAAATAATAAACAAACAATATAAACAATAGTTTTTGTCTGTGTGTTTTATTATACTATTGACCATTGATTACACATTCTCACTAGATAATTAAAAAAAAACTTGATGTCTTTGATTAAAATCAGCAAGCACTTGATAACGGTTTATTATCTTGCTACATTAAAAACAAAAAAAAACTATTAAAAATAAAAACACTTTACACATGATAAGTCCTACAACAAATATGGTATAGTAATTTAATTCATTATAATAATATAATAATAACTTAATGATAAATTATTAAATTATCAAATCAGTGAAAAAAAAAATTCACTCAAAAAAGTAAATAGGTATACTAAACTGTATACTAATTTTTAGTATAACAAGCATACGGTAAAGCACACCGTAAAGTTAGTTTATCGTGTACTGTATATATATATATATATATATATATATATATATATATATATATATATATATATATATATATATATATATATATATATATATATATATATATATATATATATATATATATATATGTATATATATATATATATATATATATATATATATATATATATATATATATATATATATATATATATATATATATATATATATATATATATATATATATATATATATATATATAAAGACCGGACATCTGGCAACCCTAGTTAAAATCTAATTTAATGTTCAAGAGTCTGATTATAGTTTCCTTTTATTTTTAAGATCGCTAAACCAATAATTTCCTTCAAGCAATTTAAACATTAGCGATCTGTATAATTCTTTTTAGACATAGTTAATGTTTGATACAAAAATGATTCCATTTGGGTATTATATCCGCACGAAGGAATTTAGGTGAGAGCGCAAGTAAAGTTCGGTGTATATATATATACATATATATATATATATATATATATACATATATATATATATAAACATATATATATATATATATATATATATATATATATATATATATATATACATATATATATATATATATATATATATATATATATATATATATATATATATATATACACATATATATATATATATATATGTGTGTGTGTGTGTGTGTGTGCGTGTGTTTTGATAATATACATCATAAAAATAGATCTATGCTTAAAAAAAAATTACGTCTAAATTTGATTAATTAATCAAGATTATTTGTGAGATATATCGTAAGTATTTGTGAGATATATCGTAAGATATTTGTGAGGTATATCGTAAGTATTTGTGAGATATATCGTAAGTATTTGTGAGATATATCGTAAGTATTTGTGAGATATATCGTAAGTATTTGTAAGATATATCGTAAGTATTTGTGAGATATATCGTAAGTATTAAATGAAGTTCTAAATGTAAAAACTTCATAAAATACATAAAACCTTATATAACAAGATTTATCCGTTACGAAAATCAAGTTGTTTTGAGAAAAACCAACTTACTCTCGGAATATAGTTGGATTAAAACTGTCAATTAAACATCTGCGTATAAAAGACAAAGTCTATGTCTAGTAAAAAACGCAATTTAGTTAATTAAACTTGATGCATGTAAAACTCAACATACCCATCTCGTTCTACTTCCGACTTTGTTATCTAAATAAGGATAGAAAGCCAACTAAATGTTAAAGCAAAAAAAAAAAAAAAAAATAGTTTCCAAAAAATAAATTAGGTTCATATCCGTGACGGATCCACGAGGTACTAACGCAAATCAAGCAAATTGTAAAAAATCTACGATAGTTCGTAGAAAATTGAAATAAATGGAGTATTCAAAGGGATTTAACTATGTAATATGATTAAAGATCGTATCAAAGAGGATACACGCAAGAAGGGGAACGGACTATGTATTATGGTCAAATGAGTAATTAGCTCAAAAAAAAAAAAAAAAAAGAAACAATTTAACGACTTAAAAAAAAGGTGCGAATTTTTCTGTGAACGGAATACATTCAAAACAAAGTTTAAAACTTTTATTTATATCAATCGGTTTTAATAGAAATAGTTTTTACGAGTAATTCAATTAAAACCAACAATTTTTAATTTTTAAAGATTAAATTTTTTTTTTAATATTTTGGAATTTGATCAGAGTTTTTTTTTTAAGTTCTTCGGTTATTTTCACACATGTCATTTTTCATACTAGTCAACGAATTAACTTTTTAATGTTCATAATTACTTGAGACTTTAAACTAATTGCCGTTCTATAAACTTCAGATATACATGCATCACAGTTTTAGATCATTTATTTAAAGAGTGAAAATATTACGCGATAAAACTTATGTTACGTTAGACAACCTGTCTAACGTGAGTTTTATCCAACCCAAAAATTAGTTGCTTTTAATCAAAAGATAACGCAAAATTACAATGATTAAAAATTACAATAATTAAACAATTCTAAATATAAAATTTAAAAGAAAAAATAATTTAGCGCCAAATAATTATAGGCTTCATTTAATTAGCGCAATCCTATACAAAACGATACAATGTGGGCAATGCATTACCTCTGTACAGTTTGTTTTATTTTTTAATTTAAAAAAAAAAAAAAAAAAAAAACGGATTTTTTGAATGAAAAAACTCAAACATGTTTGAATATTCTTTTTTGTGAATAGAAGTTATTTTTACATCGTTTACACATTTGTTCGACATGTTCTATCAAAAGCAAAGCATGCAAATAAAATCGGTCCACGTTGTGAATCAATAGCAAAACCAACTCAATCAACTTCTTCCAATAAGTTATTAAACCCCCCAGATCCCTCCTCCAATAGAGAAGATGAAGCTTCCAAACCCTCCTATCAGTATACCTCTTATGATTACCTCCATCGCTGAATCCTGGATCCATCTGAAATAGAACAAGTGCGTCTCACACAACTGTCGTCCTACAATTTTTTATTGTGCGTTGGGTTATCATTCTAATTTACAATCTTTCATCTATTAGATGTTTTGTTAATGGGACTTAGTTTACATGATATTGTACTATTTTGAATTTCAGGATATTTTTTTTTTTTTAACTTGCCCCTATACTCAACTGGCTCTACACTACCCTAATAAAAAATCAAAGATAATTAAAATAATAAAACACCTACGATAAACAAAACTTTAAAGAACTTTTTTAAAATTTTAACGCTGTAAATACTGAAACTTGTACTCACATATATAGTTAGCCCTATATATATGTTTCCAACATGGATATCACAACTCATTTCCAATATGCTTTTTTTAAAAGTTAAGTTTTGCTTTCAGCAAGTTAGTTTTTGCGTCGCACTAGCGTTACACAGTTGAACATGTATTTAAAAAACAGTTTTTTTAAAATTTTCATTAACTTTTATGACGACATTTTATAAAACTATGAAGTTTTTAACTATAAGTTTTTAACAAAGCTTGGTTATAGTATGCTTTTATTTTTACAGTAATTTTCATTCAAATTTCAAATCAAAAGTTTGAGTTTAAAGTTATATAGTTATTTGACAAGCCCTACAAAAGTTTGAGTTTAAAGTGATATAGTTATTTGACAAGCACCAGCGAAGTACGTTTAACTTCGCCAATCGAAGTTAAACGAAGTGGAATAGCAAATATTCGTTAAACGAAGATTATTGGTTAAATAAATACTAATAATATCTTTATATAGTAAATAGTAGTTTTATAAATTTCGTTTAACGAATAGTATTAAATTCTCATAAAACTTTGGTCAATAAATATACTATTTGCTATTCGTTCCACTATTCCTTAAAATCCAATTTAATGTTTCAAGAATCTGATTTTAGCTTCCTTTTTTTTTTAACGATTGCTAAACAAATAATTTCCTTCAGGCAATTCAGACATTAGCGATTTGTATAATTCTTTCTAGACATGTTTGAAATAAAAATAACTCCATTTGGGTATTATATCCGAACGAAGGAATTTACGTGAGAACGCAAGTAATATTCGGAGCGCAAAACGTAAAAATCAGAAAATAAGAAATAAAACAACATTGATAATAATAATATAATAATAATATAATAATAAATATAATAATAATAATAATAATAATAAAATAATATTAAAAACATAGTAATAATAATAAAATATTGTTAAAAAAAATAATAACTAATAAATATCTCTTTATTAAATAATCTATAATAGTATAGATTTTAATACTAATTTTATTATAAAAAAAATTTGGTGTCCCCTTCCGTTGATTATATTTGGTGTCCCTCCGTTGATCATATTTGGTGTCCCCCTCCGTTGATCTTTATTTAAGTGACATATCACTTGCTTATCATTAGTACAATTATTTTTATTCGCTTTTTGTTTTTACTATTACTTTTTATTATAAACTATTATTTTTTAATTACAGTATTATTATTATTTTTTATTTATTAATACTTCAGCAATTCTTTTTAATATTTTAACATAAAATTATACATAAAATACTATACATATATCTAAAGCAGAAATGTAAAATTGCGTCTAACACTTTCCTCTATTTTACCAAGCTGATTTTGAATTAGATTCGGTTCACAAGTATATTTATTAGATTTTTACTATTTATTTAACAAAAAATACTTTTCGTTTAACGAATACTTTTTTGTCAATGCCTGTAATACTTTTTTGTCAATGCCAATATGCCTGTAGCAGTAACAAATACCGAAGTTTAGTAAATGGCACTACTCGTTTAACGAATAGTGCTATTGGCTTTTTGTTTAAAACACTATTCGCCGGTGCTTAACCCTACAGTATAAGTACATTGTATTCAAATATAATCGAATTGTCCTTTACGGTAAACTTAAATACTTAACATAAATTTTTTTACATAAACTTAAAAAAAAATATTATCATAGCCTACTTAAAAATACGGCCTAGAAAAAAAGCATTATTTTTTATAGTTAAAATAAAAAAATAAATAATGAGAGACTGTTATTACTTCTATAAAGCTTTAATTATGTAATGGACACACTTTTTTAGTTTTTATTAAACAATATTAAACAAACAATATTAGATAAAATAAACTTAAGCATAACATCGCGGAACAGGGGCGCGATGTTATGCTTAAGTTAATTTTATCAACACCGGGGGAAGGGGGCCAGGGGGCATGTGCCTCCCTTCTTTTTTTCTAAAGGACCTTTTTTTTTTTTTAAAGAAAATTCTAGAAGAAGACTTTTTTTAAGAATTGATGAATGTCCTCCCCCCCTCACTTCGAAACCCATGTCGTCGGCCCTGAAGTAAAAGCAGAATTTAGAACAACACGCTTTATGTAGTTGCAATAATAATATTTGAGATTTTTCAAAAATAATATTTAATAAAGCTACAGGCATATTATAATTGACAAAATGCGTTGTTGGATGTCAATCTAGTTATTCAGAAAGTCAATTTTTTTCCTTTCTTTTCCAAAAAGCAAAGATATAAACACAACAACAAAAACAACAACAGATAAATGCGCAAATAGAAAAACTAGTAATTCACTCATCAGTAATCTATATAAACTATTTTGACAATAAATCTATAAAGAAAGACGAAATGTAAAAATTCCGTTTGATTAAAACCTCAAAACCAGCTCTACTATTTTTTTTATAGAAACACCATGTTTAATATCTACGTTTTCACTACTAAGATAACCAGAAAAAAAAAGTTTTCATTATGAAAAAGCAATTATTTGTTTCTTCTTTAAAAAATTAACTTACTTCAATCTATAAAACAAACAGTCCTCTGGAATATTTTCAAAACATAATTGATTTGTTTTTATAAACTTGAATTGAAAATAATTGGAAACTTAAAAAGTCAATTTCGTAAAATTAGTCATCTGTATTAGATAAAATTAAGTTTTATGCAAACTCAAAACTTTTAAATCGCTTTAAACTATGAATTTTTTTTTACTGTTTTTAATGAGCTAATCAAAATATGCTGGACAGTGTTGTTTAAAGAATTTTTGAAGGGCAGCATTATAACATCGAGCAAGGTTTCTATTAATCCTGCGGCGCCTATATGCGCCCATTATGTTTAGATTGTACTATACAAAAATCCTAGTATGGTAAAAAGTTTCATTCAGTCATGTTATAGAGGAATTTAAGATCTCGGACTAACAAACTGGTTTTCAGAATAATTTAAATAAAAATGAAAACTTTAAAAAACTCACGACATCAGTTAATTGTTCGATTTCAAGATTTTTCGACATAAGATGTGCGTTGCCTAATTGATTCATTAAGCTGTGCATTCTATCACCAAAAAAGAAAGGAAATATAAATGCCACATATTAAAATAAGCGCTAAAAAATCTTTTAAGATTTATGAAGCAATTAAGTATCGTTACTAAAATTTGGTTGAAAATAGATTCACATTTGAATTCTATCTTCTGCTTTGTTTTTAGTAACGTACTATGTGAAAGCAATATTCGAAAACAACGAAAAGCAACAATAAAGAAAAAAGAACAAAAAATGTTATACCTATTGTTAAATTATAAATGTTAATACCTTTATCGAACAAAACGAAGTCGGAACAAAGTGACGAGATTTTCTCAAGATAACAAAAAACTTGTTATTAAAATTGTAAAGGTGTACGTAACTTTGTAATCATGACTACATTTATTTAAATTGTAAATATGATTACAATACTAAATAATGTCCGACTAAAAATTTTGTCCGACTTTTTTCCGATAAGGAATGCGCCGCACACTGGGCAAAATAGCTTTAAAACCAGCTTAAAATATTTTTTTTTTAGTTTAGGATATTTAGATTAAAAAATTATTGTAAGGACACTTGTTAGACTTAACTAAAAGTTAGACGTTTAAACATATATTTACTGATTGACATAGGACAATCAATCAATTCTTGAACAATTTTTAGTAACTTGGTAAAAAAATTGGTAAGCAGTAGTTATAAAAAATTTATCAAAAGCTTGAATATATAATAAAGCATATTTTACTAGATTCAATAAAATAAATTACAGTAATTCAAACTTAATGTGAACTTAAAATAAATCGAAAAAAAAAACAATTTAAAACTCGAAAAATGGACCGAAGTTACTATTATGCATTACCGTTCAAAAAAATTTTGTCACGCCAAATTTTTATTTATCAAACGGACAGTTTTGAAGCTATACTGCCTCATTATGTGCCGAAATAAATAAATTTAACCGCGCAAAGATAAAATTTGCAAGATAAGTAAAAGATCAAGATATAGAAAAAAATCAAATAGATTTTCGCTTTTTTAGTGTAATATTTTAAAAATATTTTAAATTACAAAAAAAAAAACAAAAAAAAAAAAAACAGTTAAAAATAACAAAAAAATATTCCAAACATATTTGCTAGTTTTTTTGCGGTTCAAAAAAAAAAAAGAATAGCTACCCCCACCTCTCACGCCATCCCTTAAGACGGACAACTTAAACCACTGATATTTTTTGAAATGACGGAATACCCTCAATTACGGGTCGGGCAGGGGGCGCCGGTCAGAGCAGTTTTTAATAAATTAAATGTTTACTTGGTTTCAGTTTCAACAGATAACATTGACAAATCTCCAAACTTCATCATCGCTTTGTCTCGCGCCTCATGCAGTTGAAGATTTTCATCTAAAATTATTAACAGAAAATTATTGTTTTAGTACAATATTATTTATTTTTAAAAAGTTAAAAAATGCTGAACAATTTTCGCTGTGTTAAATTTGAAGAAACTATCATCACATTTTGAGTTATGAAACGAGAAATATATTAAAATATTACTTTAAGTGGCAAGGAAATAAATAATCTTTGCAGAAATTCTTTTTTAATAATTAATCAAAATATTCGATACATTAAACCATTAAATAAATCGTTTAGAACAAACGTTAAGCTAAAGCTAAGCGTTTAAACGTTTTATTAGGCGATAAACTTTTCTTCGAAAAGAAATCAATGCAAGCCAATCAAAACTTTTATCTTTCAACTGATCAAAATATTAAAATAAAAGATAAAATTCAATTTTTATCATATTAAACTAATCATTCAATTATTTTATATTCTTTATGGTTACTATTTGGATATAATTAATTTGATTTTTCCATTGGTTCCGCTTACTGTTTACTTTCTTCCAGATATATGTTTGCATGCTATCGCTGGTTTTTAATATACTGGATTATTTTCACTCAATAAAAAAATCTTTATGCAATTGACATAAGTAACGTTTAATCCACCAACTCCGTCAACATAAACAATAACAAAACAGTCATTACCATTCATTATCTTTAACATACATAACATCAGCAGACAATCAAATCTCTTAAGCTATCACACAACCCGAAAAAATATAAACAAAATATAGTGAAGTAAATAAATAAGGTAATTAATAAAAAAGTAACAATGGATTTTTAGATTCCAATTGAGCTTAAATATGAAATACATGCTTATTATTAACTTTAATCGTTACATTTGTTTTATTAGAGTCAATGATGCATTAAAAGAAGGAAAATTGATAAAATACTACAATGAAGCAGGATACTAAATGTGGCATCTACTCCTAAAGTTTAAACCTAAAAACCAAATTTAAAACCAAAGCCTAAGCTTAAAGCTTGCCCTGAACCAAAATCTAAGTTTAAAGCATTTTAAATCAAACAAAAATTAAATAAAAAAATGGATTTGAAAAATAGTTGCTTACATTTCAGGGATAACTTAAATGTAATACAATTACTAATATGAAGTAAACGTTTAAAATATTTACATAGAATACAATTACCTATATGAAGTAATTGTTTAAAATATTTATAGGTAATACAATTACTAACATGAAATAATTATTTAAAATATTTACACGTAATAAAAATATTTATACGAAGTAAAAGTTGAAAATAATAGAGCAAATATTTTAATTAAATAATATCATAAAGATAGTAGAATACTATCAAATCTACAACAACAACAATAATAATATGCAATAACTAAAAATCTGGATAAAATTTTATTAAATATAAAAATAAGAAGATATAATCTAATATTCTTGCAATCACTTCTACGAGTGTACGCATTTTTGGATTTTGCATCCAGATGAAAAGCTTTATTGTAAATCATTTTCGAATGAAAAACATACAAATATCTACTATGTATATTATGCTAAAAAATAGAGAACAAAAAGGGACCAAAAAGAAAATTTGGAAAAAAAGTTGGAAGTGATTGTAAAGCAAAAAAAAAGATGTCTAAATATAAGATGAAACCTCTAACAAAATCGATTGATTAAAAGAATTTTACAGCGTGGTCTTGCAAAAAGATTTAATGTATCACGTACGTAAGCAAAATTATCAATAAAAAAATATTCGTTATTTATAAACAACTAAAATTTATTTTGTCAGCTGAGTATGAAATTTAAATTTTGTATAAATTTAAGTTTAGTTTGGTTTTAAGTTAATATTTTTGTTATTTTAGTTTTTTGTTAGCATTTTAATTTATTATCGTGAAGACATTAAACAAAATTGAAAAAGTCATGATTTAAGTATCCACTTTTTTTTTGTTAAAAGCAATTTAGTGTCATCATTGGTAAAAAATTTAATCTGGTTATATATATTTTATATGGTTGTATATAGTTAAAGTGACGTTAAAAGTTGACAAATTTTTTAGAAATAAAAACAGTTAATGAAGCTATCAATGAGACTATATTTCTAATTATTGATAGAAAATAAAAATAATCTTTATTATATATTATTTGTTTTATTATGATACTTTCATTTTAACATTTAAAGTAAATTACTTCTCAAAGAAAAGTAATTTTTTAAATTTTATAAAAAAAAAACGCTCGTTAATATCAAAATGAATTATAATAAATTAATATTAATTATAATAAATTAATATTAATTATAATAAATTAATATTAATTATAATAAATTAGTATTAATTATAATAAATTAATATTAATTATAATAAATTAATATTAATTATAATAAATTAGTATTAACTATAATAAATTAATATTAATTATAATAAATTAATATTAATTATAATAAATTAATATTAACTATAATAAATTAATATTAATTATAATAAATTAATATTAACTATAATAAATTAATATTAATTATAATAAATTAATATCAACTATAATAAATTAATATTAACTATAACAAATTAATACTAACTATAATAAATTAATATTAACTATAACAAATTAATACTAACTATAATAAATTAATATTAACTATAATAAATTAATATTAACTATAATAAAATAATTACAATAAATTATTATTATTTATTTTTGATTTATTAATTATTATTAATTACAATAAATTAAATTAATTAATATTAATTTATTATTAACTATAATAAATTAATATTAATTATAATAAATTAATATTAACTATAATAAATTAATATTAATTATAATAAATTAATATCAACTATAATAAATTAATATTAACTATAACAAATTAATACTAACTATAATAAATTAATATTAACTATAATAAATTATTATTAACTATAATAAAATAATTACAATAAATTATTATTAATTATAATAAATTAATATTAACTATAATAAATTAATATTAATTATAATAAATTAATATTAACTACAATAAATCAATATTAATTATAACAAATTAATATTAATTATAATAAGGTAATATTAATTATAATAAGGTAATAATTATAATAAAATAATACTAATTGAAATTTACTGTTTTATTTTGCTAATTAGTAGCAAAAAAAAAAGATAATTTATCAAATTTACCTTCTAATTTTTACTGCACTTAAAAATTAATAAATTAATCAAGGAAATTTTTAAATTTACGAGCTGACACTTCGAACCTCTTGTACTCACTGCATGTATTATGTTAGATGATTCATTTTGAATAAAAGAATATTCTTGTAACTAAGTAAATATCGGTAAAATATTTATTTAATAAAGTATAAGCTGGAAAGAATTTTTTCTTTGCTAAATTCGAAAATTGTTTTTATTATACAAATATTTATTGTAAATAAATGGAAAGTATGACTGAAAAAGGTTAAATTAAATATTAAGATTATTAAAAAATAAAGTTGTTCTTTCTCCACATCTAGATACGATTATTAATCACAAAAACATTAGTAAACGCCATATTTTTTGAAGCAATAAATTTAAATCCTGTCAAGTGAATAAAAATTCAATATTTTAATTTATCGTTCATGATATGGTCAACTGATTTGTAAAAACTATAAAATATTTCTATAATAAAAAAAACATATGTACTAGATTTGTACGGCTTCAAAAAAAATATTTTCCAGACCAGAATAGAAGTACAAGTAACAGAAGAAACAATTCATTTAAAATGTCAACATTGAAAAAAACAATACCAACAATAAAAAAAAGTAAAATAATAAACAACATGTGGTTATAAAACAAAAAATGTGGAACATACTTTTTAAAGATTGACTTATAAGTGCCATTCTAACGACTGATAAAAAACGCGAAACCATGTCGCTTAAAGCGTTTTTTCTTAATAAAAAAAACTTTTTAACAAAAACCCTTTCATATTAGACAAAGTAAACATAAAGTATATTTACATAGCGTTGATGCATCTCTTATTTTTTAAAATAACGCACAATTAACTGTTTTAGTTGTTTTTGAATTGATAAATGGCGCGTCTTTCATCGTTTTAAACAAAAAATTAATTTTTAATTATTTTTCTATTGAAATTAGTGTAGAACCTTTGAATATTGAGACGTATTCTCTTTCAGGCAATTATCAAAATGTTTTTTTAAGGCGTTTCAACGTCTTTTATTTTTTATATAACAATTTCGAATTAAATTTAATAAACACCGAGTGGTATTTTAATTTGGTAATGCAATAAAACTAAATAATGTTTTTTTTTCGTTTTAATGAAAATAGTTTTTGTAAAATACTCTACCTTTTAATCTTTTCATTTTAGCTACCAACTGTTGTGCTCTAAAAATTATTACTTTAAAAATTAAAATAGTTAAAAACTAAAATAAATAAATAAAAGTTTCAACAGTTTATAGAATATAATTATTTAAATGAACTTTATGAAAAATGGTAAAACTTTCATGTCTCTCATTTTTTGAATTTCTTTAGTACAAAACTCATGGGGATAAAAATTCAAAAGTTATATCCTTCTTTCTACTCGTAAATAAATAAAACTAAAAACTTTTAAAGCAATTAAAACAATTGTTATGCACTATAGAACCTTTCATTTTTTTGAAAAAAGACAATGATATGACTTTTTTAACTTAAAAAAAAAAAAACTATTGATGTCTATTGATCTTTTGCTCTTTTGACAATAATTGTTATATATTTTACAGAACCCTCACCAATTTGTTGACTAAATTTACCTTCAAACGTCCCTTCAAACGAGTAGTTTAAAATAAACTAAAAAATAACTTAAAAAAGAGAAAATAGAACATTTCATAGAAATAAGAAAAATCTTTTTTTTATGATGCAAAAGGTTTTAACTCACTTTTTTTCAGCTGCCTGTCTTCCTTGTGCAAACTCCGTAATTTTTTCTGTCAAAGAATCTAGTTCCATATTTAGATCTTCAACAATCATCTGTAAAAATAATTAAAAAAAAAAAAATCTTTTTTATCATTTATTGTAGAATTAAAAACCCCTATTAATTATTCACGTTTCCTTAACGAGCGTTCTAAAGGAAACACATCCTTCATTTATTGAGAGATACATCTGATACACGAAAAAAAATTTTGAATGAATTATTTTTTGATAAGCTTCGACATTTTTGATTGTTGCAAATAGAATTGATAGACAAAAAAATAGGTTTGAGTTAATTAAAATACAACTACTACTATGAAAAAAAAAAAAAAATTAAAAATGTCTGCTCTATTAAACTCTTAATGTTGAACCCGAATTCAATCTGCTTTAACCTTGTGTATGATTTTTGTTTTACTAAAAACTAAAATTAAAATAAATAATAACAATAAAAAAAAAAAAAAAGGAATAATAAAAAAAAAAAAAAAAAATGCAAATAAAATTGCCATAATGAACAAATTACGAGATCAATGAAAAACTATCACGTTTCATAAAAGTAAACTTTGAAGACTCACAGAAGTTTCTTCGATGTCCATCGGTCGAACGCATATTAACTCATCTAGTTTTTTTACAACTTGCTCCTTTTTCAAGCGAAATTGTTTCCTCTATAAATAAGTAAATTTAAATTACTTAACCTAAAAAACTTTTTTAAATAAAGCATACAGTAACGGTATACCATCAATTTTAAAATACCATTTGCTTTATCGTTCGTATTTATGACAAAGATATTTATTTTACATTTATTCCAAAACGTAAAACTCCTTTTATTTTTTATAAAATAACTATTTGTTTGATAAAGCAATAAATAATTAAAAGAAAAAAAAAATAATAATTGAAAAAAAAAGCAAAAACATTAAAACAACAACAAAAACTTTTTTTTTGTGCAGTTTTATGATTTAACTTTAATTGGAATAAATTTATTTATTTCAGTTTATTTATTTAAAAAATTATATCAAAAAATTGCAGTTAAAAAGCATAAAAAATCAACATAGACTGGATATATATTAATAACAAGCGTGTTTAATGCATGCATCAATTAATAGAAAGAGATATCAATAACAAATATAATTTTTTTTTTAAATCACAATATAATCATGCTTTAAAAACTAATATTAGAAATTTTTTCAATAGTATTTAATGGAATGCTTACACATTGGAATGCAAAATTCGAGTATGCATGATCTGACTCTGATAAATTTGAACCAAAACTGTCAGAAAAATCGCAGTAGTCAGCACAATTTGAGTCCTAAAAATGTGTTGGTTTTAAAGTGCAATTTTTATACATAAAACAAAAATTAAACCCAGGTAAAAAAGTTCTATAAATTTCTATAAACCCTTGAAACATGTCTATAGAAAACTTGATAGAAATTTCTATATTAAATACTATAAAAAATTTTTATAAAGTTGATTTTTTTTTCTATAGAAAATATATATAGAAATAATATACATAAATTTATATAGAAAAAAAAAATTGTTTTTGATAGCAAATTTATAGAAATTCTAATAGAATTTCTGACCACATGTTTCAAAAGTTTATAGAAATTCTATAGAACTTTTTTTCCTAGGTATATATAATGATGTCCTACTAACATCTCTATTTTGATTAACTATAACTTACAGTCTTATCAGACTAAGATGAAAAGTAATTCACTTCTAATTATCTATTTTAAACTTTAAAACGAAATGTATAGATATTTGGTAGTTAATTAAAACCCATTTAAATGTGTTTTAATTCACTATTGAATTCAACAAATGTGCTATAAAAGATTTTGAGAATTTAGGAAGTTCATGTAGCCTTAGTTCTCTTGAGTGATCATTAGCTTTGATTGCTGCATGTTTTAATTGGACGGATAATTTAAATGGCTTATTATTAAAATTATCTTGATTTTATCATTGTCATGTGCTTTTTTAATAGTCTCTTTGTGATTTTACATATTCTGTTAAAGAGATAGATTTATATTTGGATGAATAGTTTTGTTTACTTTTTTCTTTTTATGTTGGAATCAGATTTGCTTCTTTTTAAGTATTTGGTAATTTAAATGACTCAAATGATAATACTATAAGCAAATAGGCCGTACTAATCCTCATTGAGAACATATGGACTTATGCCACTTGAGCTAATTGCTTTGCATTTCTTAAACTGACTCAATTGACCAAAAACAGTTTTATTGAGATTAGATTGATCAATCTTGCATATCTGATCAGTCCTGCTCAGAAATGTAAATCTGTTCATGCGTTCAGCTTCAGAGAAAACTCAAATTGTTTACTAAGGCATTTTGCTTTTTCAAGCAACTTTGATAGATCTATGGCATTTTTTTCTCAGTAGTTTATTGAGGGTCAATCCTTGTTTATGAATTGATCTAGTTTGAGTACAAACTTAGATTTCCCTGTAGCAGACTAAAACTTTTCAAATTATTTCCTCTATTTTGCATATGCGAAAAATTAGTGAGGAATTTTTCATAATTGCCTTTACTTTGCATATGGAAAAAACTATTTAGGAATTTCATAATTGTTCCTATAATAATTTGGTTTGTTTGATATTATAAGAAATATTAAAACAAGAGTTGCAGTAATAGTGTCTATTTTATTAAAAACTGATGACACATATGTGAAGTAGCAACTTAAGTCCTGAATTACTTTTACTGCTGGATTGATTGTTAATAGTTATACTTTTATTCCTGATAGTGGGCTGGACATGCTTAGTATTAAACACTAAGTTGTTCATAGTTGCTAACAATTCTGAAAACTAACTTGCTAGTTCTGCTGTTGTTAGAGATGTGGTACTAGTAGTTGAAGATGTGGTTCTGCTTTTATTGAAGATGTGGTACTTGTTGTTGAAGATGTGGTTCTGCTGTTGTTAAAAATGTGGTACTTGTTGTTAGAGATGTGGTACTTGTTGTAATCTTTAAAGTTGTTGGAGATGTGGTACTTGTTGTTGGAAATGTGGTACTTGTTGTTAGAGATATGATACTTGTTGTAGTTTTTTGTGTTGTCTGAGTTGTTTAAAAAAATACAATAATTGGATGCATACTATAAAAATGATCCTAGCATAACCTTATATCTCTCTGATGGCTTGTTAAAATATATACTTTAGTAATAGATTAAAAAGAGGGTAAGAAAAAGATAAACAAGCTACAAAAGAGGTAACTATTTTTATTATCATAACTACTACTTAACTAAATTTAATTATTTTTTAATTAACATTGTAAACATTAATGTACTGATTGGAAAAAATTGTTAAATGCAAAATATGTTTATGAGACTTTTTTTACATTTATTATACATTAACAAATACCGATTCCAACTTAAGCTCTTGCTGTAAAGAAAGAGGCCATTTTTCAATCTTTGTACTTGAACAAAGAGGTGTGCTCACCATGTTCATACTGGGCATCATTGAAAACCTAAAAAAATATTTCTTTTTCAAAACGTTTTTAACATATATTTTAGGATTACACAATCTTTATACACATCCTAAGAAAACATAAATATTTTACCACCAACAATTAATGTTTAACAATTCTGCTATAAAAAAAAATAGAAGATTTAAGAAAACAAATGCAAAACAAACTTTTCTTATAAGATGGAAATTCCTCATTTTTAACACATAGTGCTACAGTCCTCATTTTTATAGTTTTATTTTTTAATTTTTAATTTCTTCTTCTTTTTTTTAATTTATAACTTTTACATTATGTTTGTTCAAAACATTAATAACATTTGTTCAAAATCTTCTTAAGAACTGGTTTTCTAAATGTTTACAAAAGTAACAACTTTATTTTTTTAATTCACCTCCACAAGGCTGAGAAAGCCAATACATGTAATGGGGATCAAACAAGGAACCACTCGCTTATGAAGCAAATACTCTACCATGACACCACTATTGTATACTACTGATTAAATTAAAAACTAATTAAAATAGCAACTAATTAAATTAATCTATAAATAGAGGTATAGAAGGAAAAAAATAAAAAGCAAACCTTGATACTTTGAAAAATTACAGCCTGTCATTTAGTGACAATAGGGTCTAGAATTATGTTTTAGGACATGAAACTTGTCATTTAGGGTCACTTGTGTTTTAGGACTTGAAAAAAGTATCAGTTTACAGTAATTTTGTTTAGAATTTTTCAATTTAAATAAATCTAAAAAAAACAACAACCTTGAGTTGATGCAGAGATGCTATAAAAAAGCATCTGAGTAGTACAAAAAATTCTGATAAGCAAGTTGGTTTTTTAATTCAATTTTACTATTAAAGTGGAAAGTGAACGGCAAGCATAAGTAAGAGCATAAATACAAAAAGTCTCAAAAGTAACAGATTATTATTTTACTACAAAAATTAAAAAAATTGAAGGAGCTCAATCTTGTAACAACTATTCTCCCTGGTTTTTATATTATTTATAATAAAACTAAAAAAATGAAATCAAGATAATCAAAATTAGACATGAATTACCCCCTGCTGCAAGTTATGCTTAATTTTACTCAATATCAGTAGCAATTGAGGTCCTATTTGTATAGCGTTATGTACAAACGTTTGTAAGCGTAAACGTCTTTAGTATATGTTGAGTTTGCATTATATAGAGATAATAGCGTATAATATAGCTATAAAATGATAAAACTTTAAAATTTTATTTTAATTTTTAGAAATCTTTTTTCCTACGTTATTATTTTTTTGTTATAAGTATATAAGCATGATTGAAACAAATTTAAAAAATATTAAAAACCAAACTAATATTCTTAAGATGACGGAGCTCAATCTGGTCAACTGAGATTTTAAAGTAGCAATTAATAGCAACAAACAAATATAACGACACTATTAAGACATAAAAAAAATCGTCAAATAATTCAAACCTGATACATGCTGACAAGAATATAATGCATAATTAAATGGAAATGAAATGTTTTTGTTAAATTCTTATGCTCTTGATATAAATTTTTATGCTCTTGATGTAAATTGTTAAATTACAGAAGGAAAAAGACAAAATTCAAAGGTACTTTAAAGATTTTGTTAAGTCAGGCATTTAACTAAAAAATAATAATTTTTGTTAACATTAACAGGGTACTATAGCAGTTCTAAAAATAGATTTAATATTCTTTTTGCAAAGCTTTCTGGGATCAAAATGCAGACAAACAAAACAAAATGCAAAGAAACTTAATACCAATTCTGAAGAAAATGTATAAAATAAGTATAAAAGTGGAATAAAACAACGTTATTAGGACTTACTCTCACCAAATTTTTGCTATCTTGAACATTTGCCAGTTGGTGTAATTTAAAAAAAAAAAAGGAATAACTAAAGATTAGATGAAAAACTTAGAAAAAAAGGATAAACCTTTGGAAATTATATATTTAAACAAAAAGTTTACATCTTGTAGATTTCCTTGACGAAAAGAATAAAAATATTATTAACATATTTACAAATAAAATGTATAACCATTATAAAAAAGGAATTTGTAATCTCTTTATTAGTTCTGATATAAATACAAAATGCAGTATTGTTGATTTTAATACTGGAAATAGCCATGATTTTATTGTTGATTTTCTGTATCATCATAGACCTTTATTATATGAACACGAAAATATCATTTAATCGCTTTAATGAATCTCAATTTTTTACTTTTATGACTTTCTTGGACCAGCCAATTATGAACTTTCATATTTCAGCTCAAGGAGTGTGAGTGTTAAAAGTCTTAGTAGTTATCTGTAAAAAAGCAATAGCATTTATCAAATTTTATATCAGTGTAGCATTAGTGATGTGGCTTTATTTCAGAAGCGTGGAATTATGGAGTTTATTAATTTTCAAGACTGTTTTCTTGTCTATAAAAGAATTTATAATTCAAAACTTTCAGAAACTTTCAAATAGTTGCTTTTTCAGAAACAAGCAACTATTTATAATACACTATTTTTAAGTATGTGAAAAGTTTACAAAAGAAGAAGCCATGCAATTAAAAAGAATTGTAAAAAGCACGAGTTTATTTTGAACAATTCAATAAACATATTTATTTAGATTAAAATACACTATTATTCAAATTAGAATAAACTATTCAATCAAAACTTTGGACTTTGATTGAGTAATGCTTTATTTATTGGCACTAGCACCTTAATTAGTTTATGTTACTTTATAATTAGTAAACTTTTAACAATGCTTATGTGCTTGAATATCTTTGTCAGATTTAAATTTTGTTTTTACTAATTTAACTGTGTAATAAAGTAATTTAATTAATTTATTACACATTACACGCTAATTGCAATTTTTTCATTTTTTTTTTGTGTATATAAAGATTCTTTTATGTAATTTTTATACAAGTACTAAAACAAACAAATTAAAGTTAATTTAAAAAGATTAAACACCATTTTTAACAAATTTTTCAGAGTTGAAATTTAAGCATTCTTAATTATAGATAAAAACATATTCATAAACATTTTTGTAAATATGTACTTATTTTATTTGGCTACAACTTTTAAAACTTTTAAAAAGAACTTTTAAAAAGAACTTTTAAAAACAACTTTTAAAAAGAAATTTATATACCTAATAACTAAATATATTTTTAATATTTTATTTTAATAATCTTTAATCATTTTAACAGTCAATGTTTAGAGTGCTTGTTAATATTTTTCTGACAAAAAGAATTTGACATTTCTTTTTATTTAAGCGTTTACTTTCAGAAGTTGGCTTTATGAAGGAGGGGTTTTTAATATGAAGGAGGGGTATTTAATATGAAGGAGGGGTATTTAGTTAACTTTTGGAAAATATACCCACTCCAAGCATATTAAAATTAACTAAATTTATTTGTTTATTAAATTTCACTTATTGCCCAAAGAAAACTACTGATAAAAATAAAAACCTGCTGTAATCAGGCTTTAAAATGTCAAACTTAATCTAACTGATCAAAATGAAAACTTTTATTGCAATCAGCTCTTAATAATTCATAAACACTAAAAAAGAATTCAAAAAGTTATCGAGAATTCCTATTGAAAACTGAATAACTTGTCAAACCTTGGAATTAGGGTCAGCATTCGGCAATGCTGACCTAAACGTGTTTGCGGTTGGCAAAAAAAATTCAGTTTTGCCGACCTCGTTTCGATGTTTAATGGTAATACCTTTGCATTTGCCGACCTGATGCCGACCTCTAAAAGATTGAGGTCGGCAAATTATTGCCGACCTCAATTTTCCTAATTCCAAGGGTTGACTTGTATTGTTGTTATTATACATTTTTGAGTTGTTTGTCCCCATTTCAATCCCAGAATCCTTTGTTTTAATTAATTCTATATATGCACAACAAAAGCAAAACGGTACCCTACTGCATAACATTTTAAGTACATTTTAAAATTTACCTGTTAATTTCTTGCTTTAGCTCACAAATTTCATTTTCAGCAATGTTTTTCTGGGCTTTTAACAACTAAAAAATGAAATAAAATGATCGCATAACAATCAGTCTTTTATTTATAAAATGGTAGCATGGTAATCCAATTTTTTTTAATAACTTGAACAACATAGAAAATGAAAATTTATAAAAAGATATTTATTTCATCAAAAAATTGAAGATAAAGATTTCATGCTTCATCACAAGATTTAGTGTGCAAAATCCCTTTCATCTTAGTATGTGCAGAGTTGATGAACTATATTCATTAATTTGAAAGTTTAACAGTCTATGTTAAATATGAATTATAAAATTATTTAGAAAAAAACAAAAACAAATAATAAAACTGTTAAAAAAATAAAAAACATAACTGCAGTACACCATACCTAATATTTTAAAACAGAGATTTTAAGTTGCTAGATACTTAAAATAATTTGGACTAAGTTTACTATTTATAGATAATATTATATAGTATTATATTCATAGATAATATTATATAGTATTATATTCATAGAAAATAAAAACTACTATCTATATTCATAGATAACTAAAAACTACATGTGTAAAATAGTTTTTAATAAAACACATTAATGTAGGATATGACCAGTGGTATTAGGGTGTGTTGATTTTAATTTTTTTTTTTCAATTTCAAAAATGGCAAGGTTACTTTTGGTGAAGAATTTTATGGAGATTTCGAATCTGAAAAAAAAAATAAAAAAAAATAATTTCTTGCTGGGTGGGTCAGCATTGTTTTGAACGGAAAAATGACTAAAATGTGACTAATTAACAGGGAAAAACTACAAGTTAAAAAAAAAAAAAATTCTAAAATTTTTGATTAACTCAATAAATGTTATGATAAATTTAAAAAAAAGATTATTGAGTTCAAAAAGTCATAAAAATAAATACAGAAAAGGAATTTTTGAGAAGGGTATTTTTACAAAAATCAAGCACTTTTTTCGTATTTTAGACAAAGCTTAGTGATTTCTTTGACATATTTAAAGCTGTGACCTCTTGTTTGAGTTTGTTGAATACTAATTTTTTTGATTGTTTCCAAATCATTAAAACCGTTGAAGAATTTAAAAACTTGAATCATATCTCCCTGTTGTCTACTTTTTGTCAAGGTAGTCAAGTCGAAAGCTTTTAGACGATTCTCATAACTGATTTTTTTAAGTGATGGTATTAATCGAGTTGCATGATGTTGGAACTCTTTCTAATTTGTCAATTTCTCACTTTTGAATAGATGACCAAACTTGTACTGCAAACTCTAACAGTGGTCGCACAAAAGAAACAAAGTATTCTATATATCGAAACAAACGAAGCATTTTCTAATCCCAAACCCAAACTTTGGTTGGCTTTGCCTACACATTTTATTATATAATTTTTCCATTTCAGATTGCTTGAAAAGATTAATCCAAGATCACTTTCAGATTCTGTTATGTTTAACTTTTGTTCATTGATATAAAGGGATGATTTCTTGTTATTCTGGCCAAAGTGCATGACCATACATTTCCAAATATTAAATTTCACAAGCCAGTCTTGAGTCCACTTAAATGCTAAATCAAGATCTGATAGCAAAGAAAGAGTTGATGCACTGGAAAGCATTTCATTCAAAATTTTTGTGTCATCCGCATACAGCTTGGTTGGATTTTTTAGAGTTTCAGGCAAATAAATATTTATAAATAGTACAAACAATAGTGGTCCAATCACTTACCCTTGTGGTACACCACTGGTAATTTCTGCCCAAGAGGATACATTTTCGCCTATCACAACTCTTTGTTTTCTTTCTTTTAAAAATACTTTAACCCATTGTATTGTCAGACCAGATATTCCATAAGCTGTAAGTTTAAGCAACAATCTTTTATGGGGCACTGAGTCAAATGCCCTGGTGAAATCCAAAAAAATAATATCAACAGGTTTAACATGCTCTAAGGCAGTTGAAACAAAATCAAGTGTTTCAAGTGGATTTGTTAAGCATGATTTATTTTTAACAAAACCGTGCTGTTGCTTGACTATTAGTTTGAACTTATAAAATAAAATTTCAAGTTAACATCTGATTATACCTTCCATTATTTTACATGCAATTGAGGTGAGTGATACCAATCGGTAGTTTACTGCTAAGGTTTTTTCGCCTTTTTTGTACAGAGGAGTGGTATTTGCAGTTTGCTGGTTTCAAACGACTCCAAAAAAAACATAAGTAGAATGGCAAAGGCTGATGTACAATTCTTTAAAATAGCTGAATGTAAATTATCAACACCACTTGATTTGTTAAGTTTTTTTAATCTTGGATAGACATCTTCTAATGTAAATTTTGAGTGGTTTTACCATTTGCTCACTGTAATGCTTTTATAGTATCTTTGACTGGTTGTAGATTGTTCATGTAGCTGTACAGAAGCTTTGGATTCTTTATGGCTCTTTTTACCAGATTAAGCTCAAAGTTTTGTCTCACTTTTTTAATCTCGTCTGCTATATTTTTGCAAATCATTTTGTAATTAGATTTCAAAACAGGGTCTTTCCATTTACATGAGCAGTTTTTATATCTTAAATTTTGTCTGATTCTTATAAAAAACTTTAACCTAGCATTAACCCAGGCCTAATTTTTCTAAGTTTGGTCTAATTTTTAAAGAGTTTAATATCTTTTTAATTGGAGTGAAATGATTACATGCCACCTCAGTATAAAAAATCAGTTCATCAAACATTTCTTGTAAATTTTTGTTACTAAAGCATTGTATCCAGTCAACATTTGAAACTAGATCAGATATTAGTTCAAAATTATTAAACATAAATCTTGGCTTACTTTTATTGTCACGGATTGCTTTATCAGACAAGATAAAACTGAAACATATTATTAGATGGCCTCTGGTTATGTTTCCCAAATCAAATTTTGAATCTATTTCATTAACACTTGCTGACTGAGTTGTAAAGATTTAATCTAAGGTATTCGTAAGTTGTTCATCTGACAGCTGGAAAGTTGTTCATCTGACAGCTGGAAAGTTGTTCATCTGACAGCTGGAAAGTTGTTCATCTGACAGCTGGAAAGTTGTTCATCTGACAGCTGGAAAGTTGTTCATCTGACAGCTGGAAAGTTGGTCAATATGCTGATTAAGCAAATTATCATTTAAAATATTTGTAAATTTATATTCAATCCCATTCTCATTTAAAATTACATTTAAAAAATGGTGTCACTTCTTTGATCAGATTTCTGTATGAGGGACACAATCCTAATAAATCAATAACTTATTATTATAAATATTTTTATGCTTATAACAACCATTATAATATTTATTATTATTATTATTAATTCATTATTAATTTATTATTAATTCATCGTAAACATACTTATTATAACTATTACTATAATTTGTATTAATTTTGTTATCTTATAATAATATTATTGTTATTATTATTTTTATTAATATTATTACTATTGTAAAAATGATTTACAAAAAATAAACGTTGTTACCTCATTTGCTTGAGTAAGCTCAACTATAACCGATGACATATAATCAGATTTGTTTGTACATTCCTATATATATAAAATACGTTTTTAAGTTTTTGAGAAAGTCAGAAAACAAGTAAATTTTCAATATATTAAAAAAAAAAAATGAATGTCTCAAAATGTACTTGGAGATGTATGTAAATCAAAAAAATTAAATTAGATTTTTTTATAAAACCATTAATTTATTTTTCAATCTTTAAAAAAGAGAAATCAAAACTAAATGACAAAAAGAAAAAAAATCTATGACTATGTCTCAGTCAAGTTTATATGACATAGTGATATTCAAACCTACATAGTGGCATTCAAACCTATATGACGTATCAAAAATAATATTTATAACAGATTCAATTCACTTGAAAATATACAACAGTATTAAATATATAACAGTATATCATATAACAGTATAAAATATATAACAGTATACAACACTTGAAAATATACAACAGTATACAGTAAAATTTTTCTTTTAATATTTTTTGAAATTTAGATCTTCTTTATTATTAAGCAATCAGTAAATTAAACAATTTACTGATATTAAAATGAGTAAATTAAATATTTTACTGATATTGAGTATGACTTCATAGAAATCAAATACAACATCATCAGCAAATAAAGTTGGTTATGTGTCTCTTTTTAACAACAAATTGACTGATAATAAAAATAGTAGAAATATTTTACTGATTAATACAGCCACAAAGCATAAATAATAAAATCAACTAAAATTATGCTGGTCCCCACAAAATTAGACAAAATCAAAAAGCAAACACCATTAACCATTACTATGACAGACAACAAACTGCAGATGCCATTAAAAACAACAAGCCCTCAGTAATTGCAGTCTGGAAACAAAATTTGATCAAAAATCCCTAAAAGATACATGAGTAAACATCAGATGTTTCAACAAGATCTTGACACCATTCTTAATGGCAAAGAAATTTTTCTACATACAAGAAGTGCATAAAAATATTTCATTGTCTAACTTGATCTATATTCACTGTTACTATTTGAAGTAAACATAAAACAACTCAACTTAATTGAACAAATATGACAAATAATATATACAATAACAAGATATTGATATAAGATCTGTGCAAAGATACCTCAACAAGATTAGTTTAGGCAAAAGCTAAATTTCTCAAATGAAAGAATTTCTCATTATTCATATTTAGAAGATGCTCTGTCAAGAATGGAGAATGAGATAGTACTTATAGAATTTTTACATTTAGGAGGTGATAGAGATGTTTGTTAATATGTCAAGTTTAACGTTATGACATTACAAACAATAAATTATGTTATTGATCCAGATAAATACGTTTGCTATGATGACATTCAAGAACTCCTTTGAAATGATAGCTCTTTTAAAGACAATCTTTGAATATTCAATCAATTATTGTGACCTTTATGATGCATAAAGGAAAGCAAATGTCACAAAATTTAAAAAACAAAACTTGCTTGTTAATGGATATTAAAAATATCAGTTCATGCATAGACAAAAAAATGGAAGAAACTATTCTAGAAGTTATTATACAGCTGTGTGATAGTTCCTCAAAAATAAACTCAAAAGATGGAGGATGGGGGTTACCTCTAAAACTTCTTCTTTACTAGTTCTTAATTCATTGATCTGATTAAGAAGATCCTAGAAAACATTTTACTTTTATTAAACAGAAATAAAAAAATAAAACGCTCTTTAACATAAAACATAAAATCTTATAAAAATATAACTTTATTACTTATTATATAACATTGTTTTAATTAAAAAAACCTTATGAGAATTGAATTCTTCCGATAATTTTTCTCTGTCTTCTTTCATTTGAAGTAAACTATTATCCAAAAGCAAAATCTAAACATTAATAAATAAGGTGATATATATATATATATATATATATATATATATATATATATATATATATATATATATATATATATATATATATATATATATATATATATATATATATATATATATATATATATATTAGGGTATGGCAGTTTTTAAAAACCGGTTTAAAAAAACCCATTTCTTAAATAACTTTGACACATTCAAAAACTGGTTTTTAAATTACAAAAATAGGTTTTATATTTTAAAACTTTTTCATAATATATTGTTATTATACAATAACATTTTGTTAAATTAGTTTTGTAAGCTGTTTACTTTGTTTTTTTAACACGCAGCTTTAACTGCCGTAGGTGAGGATTTTAATTTTTATTTCAAAACAGCTACCTTATTCAATTAAGTTAAGATTGTCTGCATATAAATTATAAATGTATTTAATTATATATGTATTAATTATTATTATATATAAATAATATTAGTATTACTATATATATATATATATATATATATATATATATTATATATATTGATCTATTTTGTAAATAATTTACATTAATTGATCGTGTGTGTGTGTGTGTGTATATGTGTATATATATATATATATATATATATATATATATATATATATATATATATATATATATATATATATATATATATATATATATATACATATATATATATATATATATATATATATATATATATATATATATATATATATATATATATATATATATATATATATATATATATATATATATATATATATATATATATATAAACCATTTTTCAACAATTTTTTTCAAATTAAATCCCAACCACCTGGGTTAGTTGCCCAGTTGGATAAAAATGATTTTATGCTGGAAAAAGATTTTTGAAGCCCATTATTAAGGTCCCTGCTTTACAATTCCTGTCCCGAAACCCCTACTTTTTTAATTAAAAAGCGGTGACTAAACATTGAAATAAAACACCTTTTTTTTTTTCTATGAACTCTAAAAGGCCTTAATAATTACTTGAAATTGGTTGAAAAGTTAAGTTTTCAAAAAAGTGCATTGGTTTGACCCTGGAAAAATGGGCAAAACGTTCCATTTTTAGGTAATTTTATGGATATATCAATTGACTATTTTTTCATCTCTCAAACTTCCTGTGATAAATTTTATCAAATTCTTGTTTATAAAGATTAACTTAAGCTAAAATTTAATTTTAAAAATAATTTCTAATATAGTGACACCCTATAGGAGGGCTAGCGATGAAAATATATAACAACATTGTAAAGGTCAACAATGATATATTAGTAAATAATTAAGACAAAATTTTCATCAAATTGTTTGTAAAACTATAATTCAACAAACTCATTTTTAGTGAAAATATTCTCCAAACTCTGCTTTGTAAGCGCCATTTTTTTGCCAATCTCCGTTATTTGTCCTTTTTCAAACTCCCAGAATCAATTCCTACTTTGCTGAACAACCAACATTATATCTTGCCTGTCTACATTGTGAACAGAATTAACAAACTGACACAAGCTTAATTGCCTCTTAAGAGCAGTCGTTGACTACATATATTCAGTGAAAAAAATTCAATGAAAGTTTTAAATTGATCAATAAAGCCCCAAAAAGATGAAGCCAAAAAGATGAAGTCTTTATTCAAATTTAACATACTGAAAAAAACCCAACTGTGACAAGCTAGTTGGTTTCTCCTGGGTGAAGTCTAGAATTTTCAGCAGGATTGGATTTTCAGACTTTTCATAGTGTGTAGGAACAGGTTGTAAGAAAAGAATTTTTGCAACTTTTTCTTTCTCATCATCTTCAAGTTCTTTATCTGCAAGACATAATGGAATCAAGGTTTGATCCAAATAAAACATATGTCTCTCCATTAATTTCAATATTTCTTCAATTCCTTCTAGCACATCATTAGCTCCTGGATCATAATATTCTACCCAACTTTTATACTAGACCATCTGCCAGTATGCTTTTATATCTTGCAAGGATGCAGAGGAAACTAAAGAGGAGCGCACAAACCACACAGTATAAAATATAGAAATAAATTCAGCCATTTTACTGATTTCTTTTTGTAAACAAGCTGTCAATTAGCAGGGCAATGGATTACTTAAAACTTGAATTTTAAGATATGTATACTTTGTCATAAAACATGAGAAACTGATCCCGGAGCATAAACATTAAAGCTTACATCTGGAGATTAGTCTAAGTGAGTTTAAGTTATACTAGTTCTGGATAATCACCTATTGGAAATACTAAATTGGCAAGTGCATATTTGCAAAATTGAACAGTTTCTTCAATCTGCTTTTCTAGATATCTTCCTTTAACTGCAACTTTGTCAAACTTTTTGATCTTTAACTTATCCATAGTTTCCTTTGTTTCCATTAGATTGGAAAACTTTGAACATCAGATTTTCAGGAGCATAAGTTTTACCAATGTGATCTTTTTCTCTTAAAATTTTACAGTAAAGCTTGTAAACATGTCTTCGGCATGCTAGCTATAATATAATTGAACCCTGTGTTTGACAGAACATAGTGTTTGTGACAGAATACTTTCCTGCATTAGTTACAGTTGTGTCAAAGCACAGACCCTTGATATAATTTGTTAGCTTATATTTATCCAAAATGTTTACTAAAGTATCATGATGAGATTTTCCAGTACAGTGTTTCATTGACAGAATGCCAAGAAACTTCAAATCACCATCGATATTTAAGAGAACAACAAAACAATCTCATTTTTGTTTGTACCATTAGTTATATTCTGCAAAACTTTCCATCAAAGCGTGCAATTATTGGAAATTTACTTCGCCTTGCAGTTTTTATTATATCTTCTTGATATTTAGCCGCACTTGTACTTAATGCTTTCTTTTTTGCACATCTGATAGTCAATTCAGAAAGTGAAAAAGCTGTCTAACTGTCCCCACAAGTAACTATTATATCAAAAAGCAAGTGCATCATATTTCTTGATAAAATATTTTTAGTAACACCTGTATATTACAATCTTCTTCTTCTATCTTTTTCATATTTTGGCAATATTCTAAATCATTTGAATCAAGTGTTATTTTACATTTGGTCATTTGATCATTTAAAAACTGCTTATCTGAATTGTATGAACCTCGGTTGTTTCCATGTTTCTTCTTTAAACTAGAGCAAATATCAGGTTTTTTAATCCAATAAACTTTCTAATCATATTTTTTTTAAAATGTTTTTAGCTAAATTTGCTGCATTACCTTTTTTAATTATTTTTTTAACTAGTTCATTTAATATTTTCCTAGAACATATAATAGTTATAGATTTTTTTTCTAATTGCTTTAAAACTTTTTAATGAAGCCTCATTTCTGAGGTGGAGTGAAAAGAGTCAAATGAACAAATTAGTATAAGCAAAATTAAAAAAAGTAAAAAAATTATAAATATATATCATTTACCAAACAAGATGTGCTTCAAAAAAATATTCTTAGCTTAAGTAAAAGTATAGCATGAGTTTTTTATTTATTAATCTTTTCTAATTTTTTAAGAATAAATAGTTCAAACAGACGTGAGCTATATTCGATCGCAAGTGTTATTCTATTTAAATATACTTAAAAATTATAATAAGTTAGTGCATTTTAAGATATTTTTCTTATTCTAAATTATTATAAATATATTTTTAATGTAAACTTCCAAACAAAGAAATTTAGCGGAAATATTGCCAAACATCAGCGTTTTTTCGCAAAATCAGCAATATTTGCTGTAAAAAACTTTTTAAAAAAATAGGTTGGCGTTCAAATACGGTAGACGCAGTCAAAAACGATCTAGAATAGCCCCTGCAATTTCAAAGTACTAATTAGGCATTTTAGAGTTCATAGAAAAAAATTGGTGTTTTATTTTATTGTTTAAGGTCCTCACATTTTGGATAAAACTGGGGGCTTTGGGGCACAAATTATAAAAGCAAGGACATTAAAAATGGGTTTCAAACTCTACTTTTTAGCGTTAAATCATTTTTATCCAACCGGTCAACTAACCCAGGTGGTTGGGATTTAATTTGAAAAAAATTGTTGACACACCTTAATACATATATATACACACATTTTACAGTTTCAATTGTGACCCTACACATCTTCCTTGCCCAAGTTTCTTCCAGCTATTTATTATTTATAGAACAATATATATATATATATATATATATATATATATATATATATATATATATATATATATATATATATATATATATATATATATATATATATATATATATATATATATATATATATATATATATATATATATATATTGTATTAAGACAACAAAAAAATGTAATAACAAGCACAAGAAAAGAACACAAAAAAGTTTCATCAATAAAGTAAAAGTTATTCTAAAAATTATTATTTTCAATGTTGTTTTTTTTGTAACTTAAGATATAAAAGACTTAAGTAACACAGTTACCTTGCTTTCATAATCTTGTAACGTGGCATACAATGAATGGTTCTCACGCTCCTGAAAAAAATAATTAACTAACATAGATATATGTATTCAAATTGTTTATTCATTTATTGCCATCATAAAAAAAATGTAAATTCGTTTGTCAAAGTTTTATGAAACTTTAATTTTTTTTTTTGTAGATGATTGTAATAATAAAATTATTTTTTACATAGTTTTTATTACGTTTAAAACACATTAATTGTCTTGCCATTAAATGTCATTATTTGAGCACTTTCTTTTTATATAGATATTTTTGTTCATTTAAAACATTAAATTCAGTCAAACAAAATTGTTTTGTAGATGTTTTCAATTTATCATACAAAAGTTATATATTTTTATCTGAAAGAGCAAACAAAACTTTTTTTTTGCCTTAAAATTTTAACTGCATCAAAAATCTATGTTGTTATTAAGCCTGTCAATAAAACTGAGTTTATTGACAATGGAGTTAAAAAATATTAACCGACAAAAATATTGTTTAACAGTACAAAAAAAGGTTTTGAGTTTGGGAGAAAGCTAGCATCAGAATCAGTTCATGCAGATTTATCTATAAAAAACTATTTGCCTATCATTAAATACTGATAAAATTATAAAAACTATTTTTAGCATTTTTTT